AATTTGGGTCATTTGAAGAGCTTAATCAACATACTATTTAGTGAGATATCACAGGATCAGAGAAACCACAGGAGGTAGTTCACTACCCTGGGCTATTAACTAATATTCCTCAATAGGCAAGAAGGCACTTTTGCCAGAACTCAAAAGAAGCAATCATGTGGAGAAGGCGCCCTTGGGAGCAGTGGTGCTTTTGGTGGAAACAGTGAAAGGAATAAATATCCAGACTTCACTCTCCTCCTTTCTCCCATGTTCTGCCAGTGTGCCCTGTTGCTGAATCCAGTCAGAAGGGAGAAGGCAGGGGATCTGGTGACATGTTCCAGGCCAGTCCCCAGGGCAGAGAGCAGGGCCAAAAGGGTGGACAGTGCATCTGGAGGACTAAAGAAAGGTAGTCAGCACATAGGAGCAGTCCCGACTCAGTAAGTCCTTGGCCCTGCTTGTGTAGAAGACCACTGGTCATTGCGTTAATGCAATTTGTGAACATTACAACCAACCTCTAAACTTGGAATTGCTTCCCACTTGTCTGTTGGTACCTACCTCCTAGTTGCTGTTCTGTTCTTTTGGAACCCATTCCGCCTTGTTTCCTTTCATCAGAGAGCCAGTGTACTTACTTGGAATCCCCAATTTGTTCTCCAGTCCATGCTGAATGGTTAGATCCTGAAGCTCTGCTAATTAACAGGGCTCTTGCTCCTTGTTAGGCTCTTAGGCGGTAAAGCTATTTTGCATAGTAAACACCTTTCCCCACCACCATGTTGCCTGTGGAGCTTCACTACAGGGGGTAGGGGAGGCAGAGAGAGACTGGATTTTGTTTTAGTTTGCCGAGTGGAGTACAATGCAAAGATCCTGAGGCTGCATCCCATCTAGTGAGTATAGCAATGAGTTAAGAGTGCTGCTCTGGTCACAGGAATGAAGTGTTGCTGCATGTGTTCTTGGCATTTGCTTTCTTGGCCTCGTGCACTTGGCTTCGGACCACCTTACGCTGACCTTGAATAGCTGACTTTCCCTGGTACTTCCCATTTTAGTCTTTCTTATCTTGTTTTTGCCTAGCTCCAGTAGGACAATGAAAAAATAGAATGTTTTTGTCTTCTGTAGAATAAGGTGAACTCTGATTTTGAAAGTATGACTAGAGAAATCCTTACTATAACTTATTAGAGATGTTTAAAATCATGTGACTGTAGAATATGACCATGTAAGAGTAATTTACAAGCAGTTGAGGGGGGAAAAAAACAACTGAGAGGAAAATAAAAAGTCGGCCTCCCCGATCACTCTTACTTTACCATTCAGAAGCGTAAGAGTGGAAGGGGCTTTCACTGTCATTGGGTCCATCTGTCTTCCTTTATATGTTAGGCCGCATTTTCAGAAAGGGGTTCATTTGCTCACACAGTGGCAGGGGATGGGGCTGGAGTGAAAATTTCCTTCTCTTGAGCTTACGTTCTATCCATTCTACCATGCTTCTCATGTTGAACTCAGGATTAACTTTCTAGTAAAGATGGTTATCCTGTTGTCTTTTATGTGGATATATGTTATCTCTCTAGTTAGGATAGAAGCAACTTGAAGGCAGTCACTAAGCCCTATATTTCTAAATCCATACAACTACGCATACTTAGAGTACATGCTTTGTATTCTAGAATTTATGAGTGAGTTCATTAAATGTATCTTGAACAGACCAATGCTCTTTGTTGAAGAATCAATGACTTAGGACTAAAGAAGGGCTAAGGAGTTACTGAAGACAAAGGCTTTCAGTAAGCAAAAGGTTGACAATATTTGTCCTGGCCAGCGTGGTTGGAGCATCATCCCATAACCAAAAGGTTGCAGGTTTGATCCCCGCTCTGGGCACGTATAGGAGGCAACCAGTCAATGTTTCTTTCGCTTCCTCTCTCCCCACAAGCAATGGAAAAAAAAGTCATTGGGTGAGGGTTAGGAAAAAATGTTGACAATATTTATAGCTTGGACAAAGTCAGAAGGGTTATAATGAATGGATGATCTTCTTGAGGATTATTTTGACAATTAACTTGTCATTCATTTGCTGAGGACTGCCTAAGGCAAAAAAGACTGCCTGAGCAAGTTAGGCTGGGAAATGTTCAGTTTTAGGGTGTGGGGGTTAGTTTTCATTTTGAGCAGATAGAGATGTTCTCTGGGTCTCTTGCAACCTGGATGCAGTGCCTGGGAGAGAGGAAATATGGTATGGGCCGATAAGAGGAGTATTGCCGTGCAGACATTATTTCTAGAGAAAGCTTTCAAGTAAACACATTCCTTCCTGTTTTTACTTTTTCAAGGGAAATGTTCAGTCACCTTGCATTTTCTTTGTATTGAGTTGCCCTGTTGGTGAATGTGGTACAATCAGAGGTGGAGTTGAAAGTGCAGAGGGCTCTCCTTCCTCAATTTCTGACCACTCTGTGGAGGAGTAGAAGCCATCTGGATGCTAGAAGAGAAAGTTGTTAAAGAGCTCCTTATTTTGCTCCAAAGACTTTTGAATTGACTGTTCAATCCACTTTAACTTAGAGGCCTGCCTTGGCTTTGATACGGTGTAAAGGGAGGCAGTTCCAAGGGCTCCATGCTGGACATACGTACCAGCAGCTGTTACTGTGTGTTTTTGCTCACTCCCCTCGCTTTCCCACATCCACAGCCCTGCGGGTGCCTGCCGTGGGGAACGCCTGACCTGTCCTTTTGGTCCGTGGTGCTTGATCTGTGCTGTTTCCAGGTTGCTTGGTCCTCCTCTGAGACACATCAATTGCAAAGATCAGAGTGGGCTGGCTTTTGAAGAGGTTTTTCAAATTCTGCTTTGCAAACCTGGTGGGAGATGTGGTGTTCCTTTCATGTTTCTATTCCATCTGTCTCTCCATAGGGCAAAGGGAAGGTCTTGATGTAACAGAAGGAGGGGAGGGAGGAGCAAGGGGCTATGGATGTTGGCTGCAAATTCATTTCAAATTAATTACATTAATTTCTACATTTTTTCATCACCAGCCTCTCACAGCCATTGTGCTTCCTTGATCTTGACATTGCTCTAGCAAGGCTGCCAGTGAGCAGGAAGAATAATTTTGGTACACTCACAAATGAAGGGACAAAGGAAAAGTTCTCATTCATCATGGAGATCATGTTAAATCTTGCTCTGAGTTCTCTCCTTTGTATCTCAGGTCCTGGGTAGTGGCATGAATATTACAGGAGAGAATGAGTACTCTAGTTCATCTTCTAGTGATAGCTCCTACACAACCATAATACATTTATTGACTACCCACTGTATGCCAGACACGGGGGTTTCAACTACACCATTTCCCATTCTTACAATAACCCTACAAGAATATTGGTGTTATTCTTGTTTTATTGCTGGGGAAAGAAAAGAAAAGAGAAAAAAAAAACCCCTGAAACTAAAGGGTAACTAAATCTCATGTCAGGCATGCATATGTGAGACGTCTTAGTCTACCGAGTCTCAAGTCTCTTCTCTTTTCTCTATACCAGGGGCCACAGGGAGCCAAATTCAGCCTCCCACCTGTCTTTGTTTTATTAGGATATGACCACAGGTCTTTGTTTACATTTGGTCTATGGTTGCTTTCCTGTTATAATGCACAGCTAGGGTCATTTTGCCAGAGAACATATGGCCTGCAAAGCAGAAAATATTTTAATATCTGGACCTTTAAGGAAAAAGTTGGTTCATACTGCTGATGGTGGCCAAGCATTTATTTAGCAAATAGGAGAGTGTTCCGGCTGCACGCTGCACGTGTGAAACCCAGAGTCTATCATCCATCCGTCTGTCTCACTTTCTCCCTGCTTCGCGTTTCCCTTTATCCTGTAAATATTTTTGTTATGCTTTTTGTGGAGAGTCATGGCTTTTACCTCTTGAGTCTAAATGCCAGCTGGTAATGGTTTGATTTATTTATTTAGAGATTTCCTGTCAGAGCCTTGTAATAGATTGTTTGAGATTCTAAATGGTTTTGTAAAGTGTAAGTTTTCCAGCGGGTCTTTCTTAAAGGGAAAAATATTAGATAATATAACAGTAGGGTGACTTAGCAAGGTCTGCTGCTTTCTTTGTGAAAGGGGAAACATCCCTGTGTTTTTGCCTGCTGTTAATATACTATTACATGGACAAATTCCAGCAAAGGTGGGTTTGAAGAAATATTACTATCAGTTTTATGCTCCTCAGGCTTATTTGGAAGTCTGCCCAGGAGGAAGTAAGTTGTAAGGCAGCTGTTTTAAAATGTCAGGGTATATAAGAAACACTTGGGATGCTTGTTTAAAAAAAAAAGTGGATTCTCAGACCCTCAGCCTAAGAGATCATGAATCAGGAAGCCTGCTTCTGAGGCTTACGGGCAAGAGCTGGTTTGGGGACTGGAGCTGTGACTTACTGCAAGGATTGTAGGTTATTCAGACAAAGACATTATCCATGACTCATTTTTAATTCTGGTTCATTTTACTTTGGAATATGATGCTGTAGCTATACATTTTAAATGTTTATTTAAGTGAAACATAATAGGAAGATCATGTTGCTATAAATGAATTTGAATTACTTCTTTCTTCCACTACCACTAATAAAGACAATAGCATTTTATGTTGTATGTTGTACTTTATAGCTATAGGGTTCCTTATTATGTACATCTCATTTTATTTTAATTGTCATCCCTTGAGACAGATGTGGCAAGTAGTATGGTTTTCATTTATCAAGTGAGAAAGTTGATACTTAGAAAACGAGTGATTTTTCCCCCCCTAACAGCACAGTAAGCTAACAAGCAGTCCATCTCGAATTCCCATACTCTGCTTCCAATTTCTAGTCCAGCACCAATTTGTTCTTATGGCACCTATTTTGATTTTTAGAGGAAAATATAGTCATTTAAAACCCATGGACTTCTGAGGGGAAGGATGAGCTGTCCATAGTCAAATACTTGGTAATCGCCTGTAGGTCGCTCAAGGTAGAGGGAGGGGATCATAGGTGTATAAAGATTGGTGAATCCGTTGTCCTTATAGAACATTCCTAAGCTTGGAAAAAGAAATCTCTCTTCTTTCTTGGACAGAAACTTTATAAGACATGTCGAGAGATGCAGGAGCGGATCATGGACCTGCTCGTGGTGGTGGAGAATGAAGACGTGACAGTTGAGCTCATTCAAGTGAACGAGGATTTGAATAATGCCATCCTCGGATATGAGAGGTGAGCAGACCTACCCTCCCCAGCCCTACTCCAGTCTAGTTTCACCACCAGTTACTCAGCGTTCTTACTAGAGTGCCTACAAGGTAAAAACTCAGGAAGGTAAGCGCATGTTTAGAAAAAGGCTGCCTTCCTCCCCAGATAGGGGGTCTTGCTCCTGGCCTTCGGGGCCCTTGTGACGTGGCTGCCGGAATGAGCAGTGCCAGGAGCATCGTTGGTCACTCTCAGGCTGCGTAAACCCCTACCCTGTGAGCGGAGCCTGGATTTCATAGTCACTGAATGTCGTCTGCACTGAGCTCATTGTAGGCTCGCAAATAGATGAAATGCTTTAAGCAAAGCGTCTCTGTGAAAGTGAAATTGACCCCGAGTTTGCGATGGAGAAGAATATGAGAAGAGAAGAGGGGAGAATATTTTATATGGAGAAAATAGTCTATGAAAAACAGAGCAGCCATTAGGGAAAATTTTTATATGAACTTAGATTTTAAAAAATTCTTTTTCATTCAGAAGAAAACACCGGGAAAAAATTTTAATAGTCATAATTTTATCACTAATATTTGAGTTCTAAATTTTTTATACTTATGTTTATATAGAGAACACTTAACTTTTCTTTCTACCTTGATTTTATTTACTGCATCACAAGTCTTTGCGAATCCTGTGTTATTTAAAAGCTTTTGGGAATTTTTTTTTTTTAAGAGAGAGGGGAAAGGAGGGAGAAAGAGACAGAGAGAAGCATCAGTGTGAGAAACATTGATTGGTTGCCTCTTGTATGCACCCTGACCGGGGACTCAACCCACAATCTAGGCATGTTCCTTGACTGGGAGTCGAACCAGAAATCCTTCACTTTGCCAGGTGATGCCCACCCAACTGAGCCACACTGGTCAGGGTGGAAACCACTCTTTTTAATAGCTGCATAATGGCCCATATTTCTCTCACAGTTCACTTAATTAGGCATTTACATGATTTCTGACTCACTTATTCATCAAGAAATATTCCTATAATCTTGTAGTAGGAAACCACCGTAAATTATAAATATCGGCTCTTGGAAATTTAAATAAGTGCCATGAAACAAAAGTACAGGAGGTCTGTTTGGCGAAAATCACAGTGGGACCCAATCCCCAAGTTGGGAGAAAGAAGCTGTAATGAGGAAGTGCCATTTAAGCTGAGAACTATGGGATGAGTGGAAGTTGACCAAACCAGGAGCAGAGCACGAGCAGGCACAGTTTGTGAAGCTGTGGAAAGTACCACAGCCCTGGGGAGAGAGCGTGCACCCAGAATCCAGCCCCAGAGAGCTGCGGCATGCTTTGATTGACAGGTGGCTTTTTCCTCAGTCTGAAATCAGCTCCAGACAAGTCTCCTGATCTCTTTGCAGAGCTATCCCCAGGTCTTCCTACTGCAGAAATTCTGCAGCCTCTGAGATCCCTACTTTTCTAGATCCGTGTTTTTTTAGTAAGAGTGGAGTTGGCATTTTGGGTGGGACAGTGTTCTTTCTTCTTACTCACTAAATGCCAGCATGCCCCTCCTAAAGGGCCATTTGGAGATACCCTTAGGAGCATCGTTTCTGTTGAAAATTGCTGGGAATATGTAGTTGTACAGTGACCGTATGTCCAACCAGCTGATGAAGAACAAGGGCAGTGATAGAACAGTCCTGGATCAAATCTTGATGATTTCAGACAGTTTAAATTTTCTAAGACTTATGGTTTGTTTGGTTTTTTTTCCTGTTTGTTAAAGAGGATAATACTACCTATTTAGAGGGTTTCCTTTTGGAAATTAAATAGGTTGATATATATAAAAGCACCTCGTAGAGTGGCAGCACTTTGATGCTCATTAAATTTAATTTCTTGTCTTCCTCCTCCCTGTTAACATCCCACTGAACCCTTTAATTTATTGACAAGATTTTCCCTGCACTGATCGTGAATGAACCAAAAGAATTGGTGAAGTAAAACCAATAGCTATGAAATAACCTCTTTGCTTCCCTACCTTATATTTACCACCTATCAGCAACAGCAGCCATTATATGAAGAGATGACACATTATCGACTGAGGCTGGGAGCCCTGTGATCAGTGTTCTCTCAGCTCTGAACAAACTCCCAATCTTTTGCCCTTTGTTTTCTGTGGCATAAATCTTCGTAAGCTGAAAAATCGCTAAGGAAAACCACATGGTTTTCAGTAGAGTGCTGCCTTCTGGTTTTCATTTTGGAGAATTCTGTTACAGACCATAAGACCAATGACTAAAATCCTCCTCTGAAGGGGACTTGTATTTATTTCGTCTGGATATCAGGTTGGATTACTTCTATGAATGGCTCATTCTGATTCAGCTTTGAACCATGGGGGCCAAAAGCAAGTGCAGTCGATTGTGAGGCAGGAGCACTAAGTCTTAAGAATCAAAGAGAAATTCCTGCCCCTAGAAGAGATACACCTGGTGTATTAATTTCCTATAGCTGCTGTAACAAATTATCACAAACTTAGCTTAAAACAACATAAACTTACTATCTTACAGTTCTGGAAGAGTCTGAAATGGGTCTCACCGAGCTATCATCGAGGTGCTGGCGGGGCTGCGTTTCTTTTTGGAGGCCCTAGTGTCTTCTTCATTTCCTTAACATTTGCAGCTTCCAGAAGCTTCCCGCTTTCCTTGGCTTATGACCCCTTTCCTCCATCTTGGAAGCCACCATTGTCTAGTTCAGCAGTCTCCAGCCTTATTGGCTCCAGGGACCAATTTTTCCATGAAGACAATTTTTCCATGGACTGGGGTTGGGGAGCTGGAGGTCGCTTTATAGTCTGCCACCAGATGCAGCTTAATTGTCACTTGCCACTCGCTGACAGGGTTTTGATATGAGCCTGCAAGCAATTGATTCCTTATGGTCTCTGGGCAGTCACACCTGTCTGCTAATGATAATGTGCATCTGCAACAGCTCCCCAGCACCGGCATCGCCACCTCAGCTCCACCTCCGATCATCAAGCAGTAGATTTTCATAAGGAGTGCGCAACCTAGATCCCTCGCATGCGCAATTCACAGTAGGGTTTGCGTTACTATGAGAATCTAATGCCACCTCTGGTCTGACAGGAGGCAGAGCTCAGGCTGTAATGCGAGCGATGGGGAGTGGCTGTACATACAGATGAAGCTTTGCTCGCTCACCCTGCCGCTCACCTCCTGATATGCAGCCCGAATCCTAACAGGTCACTGACCTCTACCAGTCCATTCCCTGGGGGTTGGGGACCCCTGGTCTAGTTGAGTCCTTCTCACATCATATCACTCTTGCTTCCCCTTCTGCCTCCCTCTTCCACATTTAAGGACCTTTGTGATTACTTTAGGCTTATCCGTATAATCTCTAGGATAATCCCCATGTTGAAATCAGCTCGCTAACCATCTTCTTTCCATTTGCCATCTAACTAAACATGCTCACTGTCCTGTTGGTTAGGGTGTGGATGTATTGAGGCAGGGCTCACTCTGCCTATCACAGTCTGTCCTCTGGTTCCCAAAGGTTCATATCCATCCCACATGCAAAATGCATTCACCCTGTTCCAATGTCCCCAGAAGTCTCCACTCATTACATCCAGGGAATACTTGTGCAAATAAGGAAATGGAAATTTGTTACTCAAGGCTTGACCTGTGAAGGGTGTTCAGGCCCAGCACATAACTAACTAGCATACAAGAGGCCAGTGTCATAAGTAGATGGAAGAAAACAAACGTGTTTTAGAAAGGGAAAAATCCTTAAAACCAAGTGCATGTTCCAATTCACTGTGAGCTTCAAAGTGTTTAGGTTCACAGAATCAGTGTGTCATGGTATTAACACCACATTTCTAAAGCAAGTCTTAGTTTGCGGAGCATTTCCACATTCATCCACCTGTATTATCCACTAATACCTGGCGCCTGAGAATAACTTTGAGGAAATGGTTCAAGTTGTTGTTGTTCTCTTTTAGCAGATGGAGAACTGAGGGTCTGAAGTCATATCCATGGTCATATAGCTACTAGATAATAATGCTGATAGTTGAACCTTGACTTTTACCTTCAACTTTAGTATTCCTTCTAACTTGTTATTTTGTTTGTTTAACTGCTTTTCCTTTATCTCCAGTGTATGAACAGGATACAATTTTAAAAAGTTATAAAAGGTCTGTATTGTTAATAGGTATCAAATGTCTTATAAAAATGAAGATAAATAGTGAAAATTCAATAAGTGTATTTGAATTTTTATGGAAAATCCTAATGGCGAAATTGGAAACACTTTAAATATTTGAGAATAATAAGAATAGTTAAATATGTGGTATGTTCATAAGCTAAAATATGCAGCCTGTATAAATTGTATTTCTGAATAACTAGAAAAATGCTTGCAAAGTAATTGAATTCAGATATAGAATTATGTAAAGCATAATTTCAACTAAGTTTAAAATAGATTAACTTACAGAAAAATATGCTGGAAGGAAATACATCATAATGTTAAGGATCATTTCTCAGGTTATAGAAATGATTAGGGACCATTTCTAGATGATAGAATTATTATTATTTTTAATAGTTTTTCATTTTTGAGCAACTCCAGACCCTTGAGCCCTTCAACAAAGAGAAGAAACAAAGAAGATTAAAAGAAGAGAAGCAACAGAGATAAAAGATAAAAATTCTGGAGGGGCAAAACCAGTTTTAGAATTGGCATCCAAGGACTTTAGAATACTTGGACATTAAAGTTCCAATATATTTAGGTTCTGCTACCAATATCAGTGTCAGGGGTGGAGGTTCCCCACACCAACAAGCAGTTTATGGGATACCAGCTGGGTGTCCCAAAATTCAATTCAATTTGGACACAGTCTACCCAAAATAGCAGCAGATGCCCCAGGTTCAGGGTTCGTTCCACCAACTGTCTCCAGCCAGCCAACCTCGGATGCCTCTTGGGAGCCCAGGCTGTTAACTTTGCTGCTGATCCACTGGCTAGAAAATTGAATTTCCACGGCCTCCAACAACAACAACAACAACAACAACAACAACAACAACAAACTCCCATTTCCTTACTGTGTTCTCTAAGGGCATTATTACCTCTGTAAACTAAAAAAAGTTACTAAAGTACTTTATTGGGAATTAAGTGGTGAAGAAGCTGATGGTTTTCGTTCCTAAATATTTGCGTATTAATAATTTAAATAGTGTCGAATTTTCATATCATTTTAAAAAAATACTTACATTTTGCTAATTCAAACAGGTTTACTCGAAACCAACAAAGGATTTTGGAGCAAAATAATCAGAGGAAAAATGCCAATGTAAGTGACTAGAAATGTTATAAAATATACAGTTGAACGGTTTACAAATTGTATGGTATAGAACAAGACTTATGTTATTAGGCCTTAAAGAAGAGGAGACATTCCTTAATGACTGGGATGGTTTTGGTGATGTAGCGTAGTCCTCTCAATCACTTGATGTTACTCAGTTATTAATAAGAAGGCATAAGAAGGTGCTCTGATTAAGCAGGAGCCCATGCAGATGGCGAGATAAGATTGGTGCTCATGTCGCCTATTGAATGGAGACTTCTTCCTCAAATGCACCCACATAGGATCCTCCTTTCTCCAAAAAAAGGCTGCTGGGGAGAAAGCTGTGATCAGTTACCCAACACAGTTTTTCCAAATTATGTTTTTGTTTGCTTTGTTTTCAGACTACCAGTGAACCTTCTGCCCCATCCTGTGAACTCGTTGACCTAAGCCCCAGCCCTCCGAATCACAGGGCCTCCCTGGAAGAGCTCAACGCCATGAATACTCAGCTTTCAGGCTTAAGTAAGCAAGCTTGCGGGCCTTTTAGACCAGCAGAAGAGCTTGCTGTGAAACAGTTCTCCTTGGTTTCATGATTCCGTGCATCCAGAGAGGGCTGAAGTCAGTTTGTATATCACAGCTATATCAGGAGGTGTAATTTCTTGGCAAATGTTTGGGTCACACCCAGCCCAGGAGTGAGATGTGACTCAGGGAGGAAGTCCTAAAAAGGTATCCCACTGGCTTAGACTCTCCTGGAATTCATGTGGCCTTTTTATAGAGGTGATTCAATTCCATGGCCGGTACTTAAGTCTACTCTGGACCCACACACTAATGTCTCTGGGTGTTCCTGCCACACAACAGCATCAGATAAGGGAATAGAGGACGCAGAGAAATTCAGGAATCGCGAGGCCTTACGCTCATGGTGGTGAAATGTAGAGGAGAAACCACAGTCTTTTCAGTCAGAGGAGTCCAAGTTGGAATCCCAATTCTGCCGCCTCTTGGCCACCTAACCTCTGAGACTTTCCTACCTTATACAGTAAGAGCAGTGGTTACTTTAATGGGTTTCTGGAAAGGTAAATGAATAATGTTTATGAAATGCATTGTTGGCTTGTGGTTACCTATCTTATCAATCTTATTTGTTATCTCCTGCTGTCCCTAGTCCCAAAAAGTTTGGGTAAATTACAAAATAAGGATGATTTTTTAAAAAATGCTGAAGTCCAGAAGTTTTTGCCAAACTAAAAGCAGGGTTTTCCCCTCTCTGATGTTAGGAGGTTTTTCCAGAGTCAACATACTTGGTATCACTGAGTTTGTGGTTTTATTGTAACTCCTGTCATTTCTGAAATGTTGGGCCGCTTGCTTTTACAAACCAAAAAGTGGGATGTGTGCTGTCCATTACATTAAAGAGTTTTCTTGAGTTTTTATCAGGCATTTTTTGGGTGGCAGGGGGGGAAATAATTATTAACCTAAAATAATTAGGTTGTCTCATTGGAGATGGGAAGTTAAGAGTTTGGGAAAGTTAGGATAGAACTCTGTATATACAATAGATTTTTACTTTTGAAGTTGGTAGAACAAGACATGTAAAATCCCTTTAATTTTGATTAGCTTGGGATTTTATAAAACTGAGTACAATAACATCTATTACCTTTTCAACAACCTCTCTTTGTGGCTGAGAATTTCTCTCTTTCCAATTACCCTAAAATGAGGTTCTTCAATTTCTGTTTGAGGAAAGTCCATAATTTTATGGTGACAGAAGTAAATTTCTCCCCCCACCCCGCCCCCGTGAAAAAGGCAACAGAACAAGTTACTAACAAAATGTTTTAAATCCAAACAAGTCCAATTTCTGTTCTAGGTTTCAGCTCCCCACGTCCTGTTACAACGAACAACTTGCAACACAGTCTTCATCCGCAGGTGGATTTGCTAGCTTTGGAAAATACAGGAACAGCCATGTAAGTATGTGAGTCATACTCCAGAACTAACACTGTCTTGTTCCGTTTCTCATGCTTCAGGAGGCATGACATGATAGGAAAACTAGACTTCGGAGTCAGACAGGCCTGAGTTAGGGTCTCAGTACTACTTCTTCCTACTAGCTGTGTATCCTTGGATAAGGTACTTACCTAGAGTGAGTCTTCATTTTCTTTTAAGATCACTTCCTAGGATTCTTCCAAAGATTCTGTGAGATGCTGGATGTACCCCCTAACCTTGCACTTGGTAGATAATAAGCTTTCAATAAATTGTGTCTGTTTCTGCTATTTTTAAAGTGATAACGTGAAGTAGAGGAAATACAATGACAAAGGAAGGGGAAGAGAAATGAAGTGTATAATCATTCCGCGTAATGGCCACAGCAATTACCAAGTACTTGCTATGTGCCAGGCACTTGGCTAAGCTGTTTTTGTTTATTTCATGTAATCTTTGCAAAAGATATCTTTGGTCAGTGCTGTTACTGTCATTCTCATTTTACCTGGGGAAAGGCTAAAACTTAGGGACTGGAACTTGCCCAAGTTCATATAGCTATTAAGTAGCAGTTCTTGCTAATAGTTGCTTATTTTACTAGGTGATCTCCAGGATCTCATACTTCAGCGTGTATGAACATTGAACAGTAAAGTTTCTGGCCCCCAGAAATTCTCATTCAGCAGTGGAGGCAAAATCAACCATCCGAAGGCCTTACGGTCTTGAGATTTTGCCACCCCTCTCTGTTTGCGGTTTAATTTATTCATCACAGAACAAATGAGTGATGAAATTATTCCTAAGAGTAAGGACCCTGGGAAACAGTGATGATGGGATAGAGTTATAGGTCATATTTGTAGCCCACTTGCTATCAGGCAACAGACCAGGAAGAATAAGAAATGCCTTTTAATTTCTTGCTAGTGCTTCCAATAGGCCTGAGGTAGGTACCCCATCTTTCTCATTTTACAAATGAAGAAACCAAGACTGAGGACGATTAACTTGCCAAAGGTTCCCCTGATGGTAAAATTGATGCCCCACCCTTTTTTTGATGTTCAGTTCTATGAATTTTAACATATATAGATTCATATAACCACCTGTAGTCAGGATATAGACTAGTTTCATCACCCCCAAAACTCCCTTGCTCTGTTACTTTCTAGTCTACCCTCCCCAGCCTCAGCAACTGTTAGTCTGTTCTCATCACTATAGTTTTGTCTTTCGGAGAATGGTTTCTAAATAGAATCATATAGTATATAGTTCTTGGTATAAAAAATTGGTGTTTGCTTTACGTGTTTGAAGCTGTTATAAGTGAACATGCATTTAGGATTGTTATAGCTTCTTGGTGAGTTGACCCTTTTATCATTTTGTAACGTCCCCCTTTGTCCCTTGTCATTTTCTTTGCCCTGATGTCTACTTTGATATTATTAGGGCCGCTCTCACATTCTTTCAGTTAGTGTTTGCATGGTATATCTTGTTCCATCTTTGTACTTTTAACCATACTAAAATATTTGAAATGACTTTCTTATAGATAGCATGTAGTTGTGTCATGCATTTTTATGTACTCTCATAATTTCCGTCTTTAATTGGTATGGCTAGACCATTTCCATTTAATGTAATTGTATGTTGGGATTAAGACCTACCATTGTGTAAGGTTTTCTGTGTGTGCCTTTTTCCCTGTTTCCTGCATACTTTTGGGTTGTTTGAATATGTTCAGTATTCCATTTTATCTGTTGTGATCTTTGTATAGTTTATATGTGGGAGCAGGGACTGGTTGCTCTAGAGATTGCAATACACATAACTTTTAAGTCTGCTTAGAACCAGTATTTGACCACTTGAGGTGAAATGTAGAAACCTATTACCATATAGATCCCTCATTTAAATTATAGTTGTCATATATATTATTTATATACGCTGAAAAAACATACCACTGGACAATATTATAATTTTTGCTAGCAACCCACAAATACATTTCAAACCACTCAAGAAGAGACAAATAGCCTATTATATTTATGCAATATTTACCATTTCTGTTGCTCTTTAATTTTGTTCTGGTATAATTTCCCTTCTCCCAGAAGGATTTCCTTCAGCAATTCTTTTCCAGCAGATTTATCAACAGCAGAAATCTCTTAGTTTTACTTCACTCTAGTATATCTTCATTTCATATTTGTTCCTGAAGGATATTTTCACTGGATATAGAATTCTGGGTTAACAGTTCATTTTTTTCCAGTGGTTTTTAAACTCTACTCTCTTCTGGCCTAAATGGTTTCTAATGAGAAACTTGCATTTATTCAAATCGCTGTTCCCTATAAATCCTTTGTTGTTTTCTCTGATGGCACTTTGAAGAACTTTTTTCCCCCAATTTTGAACAGTTTGATTATGATGTGTCTGGGCATGGATTTTAGTTTATTCTGTTTTTGGTTTGCTGAGTGTATTAGTTTCCTGTGGCTATCATAAAAAAAAAAAAATTACCACCAACTGGGTGGTTAAAAACCGCAGGAATTTATTTTCTTAGCGTCCTGGAGGCTAAAATTCTGAAATTCAGCAGGGCCACACAGCAGGGCTTTTAGGGCAAAAGCCATTTCTTATCCCTTCCATATTCTAGTGGCTGTTAGCATTCCTTGGCCTGTTGCCACATCACTCCATTTTCTGCCTCCACCTCACATTGCCTTCTCCTGCCTCACATTTTCACTGCTTTTCTCTGTCAAGCTCACTTGTCATTGGGTTTAGGGCCCATTCGAATGATACAGATTGATATTGTCATCTCAAAATAAGGTAACAGTCACAGGTTCCAGGAATTAGGACAAGGGCGTAAGTTTTTGGGAACCACCATTCAACTGACTCCACTGAACTTCTTCAGTCTATAGGTTTGTCTTTCAACAAGTTTATGAAGTTTTTAGCCTTTATTTGCTCAAATGTTTTTTGAGCATTATGTACTTTCTGCTGTCCTTCTGGGAATCTTGTTGACACATATGTTCAATCTCGTCATTGTCTCGTGGATTCCTAGGATTCTATTCATTACTTTTCTCTCTTTTTTTTTTTTTTTCCTGTTTTTTAGATCAGATAATTTCTATTGACCTGTATTTGGGTTAACTCATTGCTTTCTCTGTCATCCCCATTTGATGTTAAGCTCATTCTGTAATTATTTTTAAATTTCAGTTATTGTGTTTTTCAATTCTGAAATTAACATTTGACTCTTCATATCTTATGTTTCTTTGCTGAGACATCTATATTTCCATTTTTTTTCAAGAGTGTTTGCCGTTGTCTGTTGAAGCATCTGTGTTCAAGAGCTGCTTTAAAGTCTCAGATAATTTCAGTACCTGTGTCCTCATGATATTAACTTCTGTCAATTTGTCTTTTCTCTTGCAATTTGAAATGTTCCTGGTTCAAGTTCAGATTGTATATTGGACATTGTTAATGTTATAACACGTGCTCTTATTTAAATGTTATTGAGAATGTTGATATTTTGGCCTTAATAGGCAGGCAGCCTTGTTAGGCTCCTGCCGCCATTTTAAACTGCTTTCCATGTGCTGCGGTTCCAATGCAGCTAGGCTGTCCAAGTCTCTGAGGCGCTAATCGCACCTGTCACATGTGCCCCACTCAGTGGTCAGTCTAAGGCCTGGGCGGCGGGCTGTGTGCTCAGTTCTGTCTTTGGCATCCTGCCTGGGAATGGATCCACAGGTAAGCTCAGGATTTCACAGACTTCATGAGTTTGTTTCCCTGAATTCATCCCTCTTTGTGGTGTCTCTGGTAGTTTGCTTTCCTGAGACTCCAGAAAACCTCCAGTCAGACCTGGACAGGACAACAGAAACAAGGGAGGTGTGCCTCATCCGCTAGGGACCACAGTTCTACCTGTTGGAGAGGAAGATCCCCTTCACTCAGAGTTCTTTCTTGAACCTGTGTGGGCCCCTGTTACCCCCGATGTCACTGTGGCCACCTTGGGATTGCCCAGTGTTAGGGGTGTGACGACAGAGAGGAGAGGGGAAATTGGTGAGGGATTTCCACACCCACCCTGAGCGCACTGCTCCTTGAGGGAGAACGAGACGGCCTCTCCACGAGCTCTGTCGGTCCTCGCTGCCCACTCTCGGGTGTTAGGCCGCATTGCGTTCAGCTTAGGGAAACCGGAGGAGAAAACATGGCAAGCTCACCAGCGACTCAGTGCAGCTCAGATTCTTGCCTTCCTTCCCAGCGAGCCTGTAACTCTTTCCTTTTCAGTCCTCAAATATTTGCCCCCATGCATTCATTCTGTCCAGGTTTTCTAGGTGCATTTAGTGGGAGAGACAAGGAAAGTGTGCTTACTCCAGCTTACCCAGAGCCAGAAGCGCTCCCCACCTCCTTCCTAACCTCTAGGTCGCATCACCTCTCATCCTTCGGGAAATGACGGCATGGTAGCTACTCGGGTGGAAGGACCAAAGGCCCTGTTTTTACTTGCATGCTATGCATATTCCAGCGTCTCAGGGCCAGCACTGCCAAGGGACAGTGCTGTCTTTACTCTTTGGTATTTGGGCATCATGACCCTGGAAGGTACTGAAACCAGATAGAATTGTTTTGTAAAATTCGTCTTCTTGTACAGTCTGCAGGTACATTGTACATTTCACTTTTAGACCAGGAAAGTCTCCTTACTTCTTGCGTTTGTGTTCTCACTGTAGGGTAATCATGCTGTGTTATCACACTATCCTAGGTCTGCCCAAAGGACCAGCCAAACCCCCGCCTCAGATCATACATACGAGAGCGTAAGTGATGAACCCCTTTGCTGGCAGTGTACCTCATCAGATGAGCGTGGCCACAAAGGAGCTCCTGGTCATTAATTCTAATGTTCTTCTCAATGTCTCCTTGTATTTATAATGTATTGATATAGTCCTTGTTGGGGCTTTCCCTTATTGTCTTTTTACTTTCATTTAATTTTTTAAATTACAGTTTACATATATTAGTTTCAGTTTATTTACAACATAGGGAGTAGACATTTATTTAACTTACACGGTGATCACCCTCATTAAGTCCAATACCCACCTGACAGCATACGTAGCAATTACAGTATTATTGACTGTGGTCCCTAAGCTGTACTTTACATCCCCATGACTATTTGTGCAACTGTCAATTTGTACTTCTTAATCCCTTCCCCCTTTTCACCCATCCCAAACCCCCTACCTTCTGTCAACCATCAAAACGTTCTCTGAATCTATGAGTTTGTTTTGTTTGTTATTTAGATTTCACATATAAGTGAAATCATATGGTATTTGCCTTTTGCTGTCTGACTTACTTAGAGATGAATAGATAAAGAAGATGTGGTACATATATATCAGGGAAGATTACTCAGCCATGAAAAAGGACGAAATCTCACATTTGCAACAACATGCATGGACCTAGAGGGTATTATACCTAGTGAAATAAGTCAGACAGAGAAAGTCTTTGAAATCTTTTAAGATAAACAAGAGTCTCCCTTCTATGAGAAAAATGACAAAGGACCAGAATTCCTCTAGTGTTCCTATTCACTGTCTCTCCTCCTTTGCTCCTGTCCTTTTAGACAGACTTCACACAGCCTGTCACCGCTCTACTCTCTTAGCAAGGTCAGCAGTGACATCATTGCCAAATCGAGTACTGCAGTTTTCAGACCTCGCCTTATCCAGTTTATCAGCAGCACGTGACAGTGTCACTCACTTCCTCCTTTTTTGCACATGTTGTTCTCATTTTTGGATTTTCTCATCTCCTTTGCTTTCTTCCTGGCTCAGGCATCCCACCTGCCCTTCCCACCGTCTTTTCCTCCTTAGCAAATGACCACGCCACTATTTCAGTTGCTCAGGTCAAGAACCTTGGGAAACAGTGCTGGACCCTCTACCTTTTTACCCTTTACCCTCAAAGTATATCCATTATCCCAGCCACTCTCTTTTTTAAAATTGTTTTATTGTTTATGCTATTATAGTTGTCCATTTTCCCTCCTTTGCCTCATCTCCACCCAGCACCCCCACTCCCTCAGGCAATCCCCACACGTTGTTCATGTCCACGGGTCATACGTGTAAGTTCATTGGCTACTCCGTTTCCTACACTGTACATGACCTCCACTTCCGCATCCCAGTCTAAGCCACCAGATGGACGCTGCAGCGGTCTCCCAAGGGTTGCCCTCCTTCGGCCCCTCTCTACTCCCACCAGCCACCACACCATCTAGTTTCAAATCAGAACCCTGAGCAATCTTTTTTTAAAAAAGTAAAGTTATACGATGTCACTTACCTGCTCTAAAGCCACCCATGATTTTCTTCCTCACTCCTTTTTACTCCAATCTCACTTCTCACCTTTCGCCCTTGGCTCACTCTACTCCAACCACACTGACCTCCCCTATTCAGAGCACATGACCTTGCGTGTCCCCTCAGGTTACCAGAGGGTGCACTTCAGAGTCAGGGCTCCACTCACTGCTTGCAGTGGTAAGGCACTCTCTCTCTACTATGATCAGAGTGATAACCGCCCCACCTGCCCCAGCCCCTCCTGTCCCCATTACCCTTCTATCTTAGAGCATGTGCCATCTCACGTCTGTTTACATTTGCTGATTCTCTGCTCCATTTTATTTATTGCTCTAGTTATAGTGCCTGGCATCTAGTAGGTGCCCAGGACGTATTTGTGCATCAAATAACATTGCAAGAAAGATATTTCTCATTAAGACTTTTAATCTTTATTAGTTCTTTTCAAATGCCATCACTTTATGCCTTTCTATAGGGTCAAGATATTTTTTTTTCCTGTTTGAAGCTGAGCTTTTATATTTAGTGTAAAACAACAGAATCTGGGTTGAGCTATATAGTCTTGCTTTTACTTTTGTAAAGCAACATGTATTTTTTAAAAATTTTACATGGGAGATGAGACGCAATGGGCACAAAGCCAGACAGAAAAGCAGTAAATTTTATAAGTGGTTATTAGCTATAAAAACTAAAATAATAGATCATAATTACTAATTCTTATCTAGGAGAGTATATGATTCTTGGAATAGTGCCACTTGAAAGCCTAGGAATCTAAATAATAAAAAAAAGAAAAGCATTGTAGAATGTTTATATGAATATGTACTGTACTTTTTTCAGCTTCCAGACTACTCAAATGCAACGTTACTACATCCGGTGAGTCTACAGACCACTCCGACCACACCATCAAACCAGAGACGGCCAGCCTTGCCCAGCAATCATCCAGGTACTCCAGATGCTATTCTTTGCATAAGAAAAAGCTGTGAGAATAAATGAGTCTACTAGAGATTTATTGGTAATTGAAAATAATCATATAGAGGGAAATTAGAGTTTATTTGTATTTTTAAGTTCCATGAAGTAAATTCCAGGCAAATACCATTATGACTGACATTAGGAAATTCTAAAAAAATGCTTGCATTGTACTGAATACTGAATTTTGAACACTGAGGGAAAACGAGCCTTTCGTTGAAGTTTGAAATCATTTTGTTATATAGATTTGTTGCACGAGAGTGGTATTAGAACACCAGGGTGTTTGTTTTTGGTTGTCAGTGTTTGTCAGGATCTTATGTTTGAAATCTAAATCATAAAGAGAATACTAATTGTGGGTATTTCCTCAAAAAGCACAGTGTGTATTTACTGCCTTTTTTTTTTTTTTTTTTTTTTTTTTTTTTTTTTGCCTAAAGCGATGACAAAGAGTGATCTCCAGCCACCCAATTACTACGAGGTAATGGAGTTTGATCCCTTAGCTCCTGCTGTCACAACAGAGTAAGTCATTTACAGAATGATTAATTTATTTTTTGTCTTGGTTCCCTTTGGTAGCAGAGCTAACAGGGCTCGTGTATACATTTAACTTTGTTTAGATCTTGGCACAAATCGATGACCTTATTAAAAATGACTTATGAGGTTTTATGGAAGCTGTTGCTCTTCATGGTCTTACTGTTCTCGGCCTTGTGAGTGCAAAATAAAAATGCTGGGGTTGCCCGTTAAGAAATAACCGGAACCATCATGTGCATTAATGGATTCCTCGTGGATGCCTTGGCAGAAAGTCAGGTTCTCCCCAGCTTGAGAAGGGCTCTAGTCAGTGATTAATGACATCGTAACACCACACGGATGGGATACTTTAGCTATTCTTTGACTCCTAATCCCCAAAAACTCATGGAAGGACTTGTTTTTAATTTTTACTACATATAATGTGCTTAAAAGATTAATAAAGTAGTGTAAAAATAACTTGAAATCCTTACAGCACCGTTATTATATAAGTTCCTATTGGTCAAGTGTCTATCGCTGTTTCTGGGATGGTAGATTCATGAGAGCTTTAATATACTTTAACTGACTGAAGGTCACCCCCCGAATTGTTAAAAATGATGAAAGCAAGTTTATGGAAATAACTGCTCAGAAACTGGCAGCCTGCAGGCGCTATCTTTGCTTACAGCTGTGTTTTGTTGAACCTGTGCAGAATTTAAAATATGCATTTAAAAATTAATTGCCAACAGTTAAACACTGGGATATTTTAAAAAATAATAATAATTTGGACCTCTGGATTCTTTTCGATGCCAGGCCTGCATTTTCACATGCTAGCCATGGGCTGGGGCTGGGGACTGGCTGCCTCCTTAAGATCAGACAGGCTCTGCCGGCCACCAGGCCCCCTGCGTCCATTCATTCGACCTCCCTGGCATGTGTAGGCCTTTGCAATTCTGACGCCTGGTTTAAACCCTCAATGTAGTGGTCCATTTTGGAATAATTATTGGATAAATCTTAATAGGCTTAGGTGCTCATTAAGTATTTTTTCCTAACAGGATTTGAAATTTCCCTGGTTTGTTCTGCTTGGTAAAATATCACTGAATGTATTAGTGTTTAAGGAATTAGAAATTGGTTAAACTAGATATGCTGTCCAGAAACTGAATTTTTTTATTAGTTTCTATATCCGAATAGGAACCAGAAAACTTGATTATATTCTAGTTGACTAGATTATTCTAAGTCGATATGGCAGTGCAAGATATTAAAGGTGAGACATTAGTAAAAAGCTGCAGAAGCGAGGCTTAGGAAATCTTTACCACTGTAGTCCTTCCTTTCTTCTGGGGGTAAAGGTATCTCAATTCCTTTGAAAGTCTCACAAAATCCAGGGAACTTCTCAGGAAAAGCCCAAAATCTTGCAGAGACATTTTGAGATTTTCATATCATTGGTCGTCCATGAACACCATGAATTTCAGGACAATGAATACAGTATTTATGAGGAAGTGTATGTACACACACACGATTCATTCGACAAATGCATTGAACACTGACAATGATGAGGGTCTAATTTATCACACTGAACAAGAGACATGCCCCCTGTCCTCATGGAGGTTAAATCTAGTGTAGCGGCAGAAATTAAATCAGCAGGCAAACATGTATTTACAGTATATGTTAATAGTATGAAAGAATATGGTGACTTGACACTGTGTAACAGGAAGACCTAATTTACATGAGGGTTAGGAAAAGCTTAAGGAAGTGACATTAAAGTTGAGAGCTGCAATTGTTTTTTAGTCAAGTGACAGGTTCAGGAATCAGTGTTGGAGGCCCAAGGAACTACCAGTAAAAGGGCCCCAAGAGGGTTTTGGCACATTCAAGGGACTGGGAAAGCCAAAGCCAAGAGCAAAGAGCAACAGGCCACCTGTCAGCAGATGCGGAAATTGCAATTTGCAAAAAGAAGGGCGTGCACAACTCTGATGAACACCACTGACAGGACAAGGAAAATGAAGATTGAAAACTAGATAATGGATTACATAATAGGAAATTAGTGATTTTTTAGTAAAAGCCATTTTGGTAGGTGGGTGGGGACAGAGGCCAAATTTCAGCGCATTAATAAGCAAGAGTGGAATAGCAGCAGTCAGTGCAGATGACACTAGAAACTCTTATCGTAAAGGAGCTGGAAAGCGGGTTGGCACCTAGAGGGTTACTGGCCGGGGACTAAGGGCTGTACTATTGAGGCAGGGGCAAGGCAGTGTGAGGGGCGGGTCCAGCAGACCAGGAGAGGTTCAAAATTCGGGTAGGGAGGGGGGATAACCAAAGGAAGTTAAGTGTTTGAGAAGCCAGGGCTCGACAGGATCACAGAAGGTAGATGATGGTGCAGGTGAAAACAAGTTTGAAGATTCAGTGATGGAAAGATGAGGAAGTTTCCCCGTAAAGGCATTTACTTTGTTAGGTTTCTAACTCACTGAGGTGAGGGATATCAGAGACTCGAGAGTGAAGGAGATTAAAATAGTTTTGGGGAAACTGAAGACAAAACTTATTAGGGAAACTTTTAAAAATGCTATGAGGACCCTGATGGGGCTTCATGCCGTGGATGAGCAAGGCTTCCCAGTGTTGTGATTTTTATGAGACTTTTCATCAGCCAGGTATTCCTGTTTTGTGTATGTCCGTGTCATGTTTATAGATATATTTTCTAGCCACAGACATAAGACATATATTTGTATGAAATGTCATAGAAAATTATATATAAAGTGCAAAGATGACAGTTATAAGCTAAAGGTGGCTTAGGAGTTTGGACTGTAAAAACATAGGTCAAATAGGTTGTAATCAGTAAATTTTTAAAATGTTTTGACACCAGGAAAAGCTGAACAATTTTTCCTTTTTTAAAGGAAAAGCAAACTCTCTTTTAGCCATATTTTTCATTAAATCACAATTAAAATAAATTGATTATATAATTTACATATTTTTAAGATGCATAGGAATTGCACCATTAGGATCTAAGAAAGCTATAATGTAAGATTCATGACAGAGATTTTTGTTTTATTTGCTTATACAGCCGGAACAGCTAAGGGCACCAGGTTATTAGTTAAGATTAAAAGCCAAAATAGTACTTTGGAACTGATATATAACCCTTTGGCCATGATGGCTTGTTTGTTTCAGAGCCACGTATGAAGAAATTGATGTTCATCACCACAAAGGCACTCACAATCGTAGTGGCTGTTGAGGTAAAGACTTTCATTTACACAGCCTTCATTCCACATTCTATGGGACTTCAGTGTAATTATCACTTTCTCCATTTAGTATTTACATTTTCTAAGGGCCACTTGAATCTTGACACTTTGATGAATGAAATATTATACAAGTTCCTCCAAATCACTCAGTCAAATGAACTATTTGTTCACTAATGAAATACATTCTTTGTGACTTTAACGAAAAATAGCCAATTTGGGGGATGCAGTTGGTTCATATAGAGAAATATTAATGCCAAGAAAACAGATGGTCAATAAAAACTTTCCAGCACTGGAATCAGACATTTGTTTTTTATGTGCAGTTAATGCCTGTAAACTGGGACTAGTAGAAACCATTCATTGTTAGCCTGGTTAGGCCTGGATTATTTCTATTTGCTACACTAGTCTTCCCACTTATTTATTCATGAATGCATGGCCAGTAACGATCAATTAACCTTATTTATTCTCCTCACTCCATCCCCTATAATGGAAATAGTACATTCTTGCTTTTCCTTTACTAGTATGTGGATCTCCTGCCATCAAGGAATGGGGAAAGAGAAGGAAAGTATGGGAGTGGTTGACTGTCTTCTGTTTCTTCCAGGTGAAAGTCAACAACCAGCTCACCAACTGCATTAGGAGCAACAACGCTCTAAAAGGTAGACCTTGTCCAGCTTTGGAGCCCAGAAGACCAGACTAACCAACACATCAAAACCATGGTGGAACACTTCTCCTCTGCAATAGTGAGATTTAAACAGAAGAGTGCAGTTCAAGCTTTATCTCAAAAGAACTTGGTTTTAACATATACTCACTTAAAACTTCAATAGGAGAAAAATTTATTTTACTGAGGCCAACCAGGTTAATTGGAGCATCTTATGTTTCACAGGCTTTCCTACCTTTAGAAATCCTCACATGGCTGTGATGAAAGTAGATGAATATTTTTTATTACAAAATAATTCTGAATAGATGTAAGCACGAAATGTGAGAAACTAAATATATTATTCAAGGAGAATAGTGAGTGCCTTCATTCAACTGAAGTTAAACATAAGTCTATTTGCACTTCTTTATAAATAATCTTGTTTAGAATTATGAATTGTAAAAAAGTTTTAATATTGTAGTTTATATTTCAGATACCCTGAAGAGGTCACCAAATGCTACAATTAGTTCCCTTTAAATATGATTCTTTATACTACTAAATGTTTTTTTCTTTTTACTGCAATTTAATATTTCTACTTGGAATAAAGACTACTGGAAAACATTCAGAATAAATTATGCATTCATTTATGTTATAAATTACAATGACAAATAAATTACTATTAAAACAATTTAATACATCTTTTTTACAGAGGCTGTTCATTGCAGAACTTCTAATGTCATGAACCTTCACATTTCCCACACTCACACTTCAGCATTCAGGGACTTGGAACTATCATAAGAAATATTAGAAGCCTAGCAGGTACTTGCATTTTCATGATACCAAAATTTCAAATTATTCAGTACTTTGAATGTAAATTGCCCTAGATCTTAAAAAATCACATCTGAAATCAAAATATGATCCTTGGGTAAACTTAGGGTTTAGTGATTCCTCTTCCATTTTGAATTTTTAAAAGAGTGACTGTGCACAATGGGGAAAACCAACTGTTTTTAGAAATATAGTCTGAAGTTCTGACCTAGAGCCTAAGACAATACTAGGCATTTAAAAAATAAATTATTGCTAACAAGTATAGTGCTAATAATGTGGAAGGGAACCAATGAATTAAGCCGAACCACCAAGTCCAGGCATACACATTTACAAAACAAAGCAGTTTCCTTTAATACTACTTAGCGAAGTATGGTTTTGAACAATCACACATTCTAAAAAGGCATGTGGATTCATGATAAAAAGCTGAACCTGGTCTCTATTTTAAGTAGGGCAAATTAGTTGGGGGAAAAAATTGCTATATAACATTTAAAATAGAAAGCATAAAATATCATGGAATATATTATTATAGAATGTTTCTCTTCCGAGAAGACAAGATACATGATTTTTCAAAAATCACAAATTTGAAGCAGGACTTAGTTGCTGACTTCAGTTATAGCCTGGAACTGGCAATGTGTGCCCCTCCTTTGCTTCAAAAAATGTATAAGAAAGAGTGATGAGATCAACATTCACCATTCTTGGATCTTCAGCAAATTCAGGATCAATGTAGAAAAACACTGGCATATCTACTTCCTCTTGTGGATTAAGCCTTTGTTCTTCAAAACAGAAGCACTAGAAGTTACAGAAAGGTATTTATTAATATTTCTGTTCTTAACAGAAACTACTGGTGCATTTCTTGGCTTTAATAAGAATACTGTTAAACATAATCTTTAAGTTCTGTGATAGGATAATAGCACAGCATCTTTTCATTTCATTTCAGAGTGAGTTCTGCTTTAAGGATTAAGAATCAACAAATTCTTCTAATCTTAAAGCAGATTTCTATTTGGTTTGGCTCAAAAACGTCTACATAGCTATTATAAGTAATGGAAAAAAAAAAGTCTGAAGTTTAGAAGAAATCAGTACCTACTAAAACACTGCAGTAAATTTAATATTAAAGTTTTTTTGTACTTTTATCATATTCTATTGTTTGCAATTATTTATACCTGTATTTTATTGAAATACTGCCCAGCTTCAAATGGTACAACATTGTATGTAGAAATTCCGATTACTGGCTTGTCAGTAGGATTCTTAGCTTTATAAAATGCCAGTGCAGTCTCTCCAGGCACTACCTGTTTTGAAAAATACATACATTATCAATACTAAAAATCACACACAGCTCCCTCTTTCCCTACTAAATTAGTCATATTATTTTTCCTAAACATCATACCATAATACCTAATTTAAACTAATGTTAAGAGACAGTAAAATAGTGAATACTACGCATGAACACCTGATTTTTCAAATTTTACTTGTATCAGTGAAGAACCAATATTCAATTATGCATACTTAGTTATGGAGTGTCCTCTTCCATATGTGAAGTCTTCAAGCAATAATCTGCAAATTAACTTAAAATGTTTTCAAGGACGTTCCTGCTTAAGCCTAATTTCTTAACACTTACTCCTAAATATTATTATGATTGACTAAAAATTCTTTTTAAAAGGTTACCAGCATTAAATTCAGCTTACAGAGTAAATTAAACTCATAACCAGAGAAAAACTGACTGAACAGAATTTTTATTTTACCAAAAAGATTAAGTTGCAAGGCTTAAAAAAAAATTCAATTTCTGTCACTTGTATCAATTCAGCCACTGATACCTTGTATACTACTATGGGATTGGAACTAATATTATAAATCATAATCTATAAAACCCTCAATGAATGGAGAGATTCAGTCATGTTTACTAACCTGGGAAAGCACTAACAAGGGTTTCCCAGTAAGAGTCACAATTAAGCTTTTCTGGCTATCAAGTTGAGAGAGAATCTCAGGAAACCCTCCCAAATTCTAGTTAAAATTTTTGGAAACCCTTAAGATACAGTCTTACTGAAGTAGAACGTGACTAGTATGGTTACTTCAAAGGTCCTCAAATTTGTATGTTAAGGGACAGGGAAACTTTTGATGTAAATTAGTAAACTCTACTTTTCTATTTTAAGCTGTAATTTTCAACTTTTCTCCATTCAATAACTTATACTTGAGAAGAAGTTTAACTATATATAACAACTACTCCTCTAAAGATTAGTATGGACCAGAGAACTTCCTAGTGAACTCTTAATACAACTCTCATAAAAGCATGACATTTTCCATTGCTCTAAACTGCCTTTTACTATAGTACCATGCAACTGAAGTTACAGTATATCCTGTTCATTACCTGTAGGGAACTGTCAAAAAATAATCTTGTGGAAATAAAAGAATTACAGTAGTGAAGTCTATCAGTATTTTGAAATTATAATTTAGATCAGTGTTTCCTAAACGGTGAAACATTTTAAGTGGTGAAAGGAATTTTTACACTGAAAAAAATAATCTTTTACTCAATGCTGCACACACTTACATATATTTCTGTTTGTTGAGGTCTAAAGTTCCACTGGAGACTTGCATGCACATCTGCATTAAAGGTGACTTTAATTATACGATCCTTAACAGGCACCATGTTTTCAATCTGGTCTGATGCATGCCCTGCTGCTACTGATCCTCCAAGTCCAGTTGTCTAGAAAAAGAAAGTATAGTACCTTAAATATTATTTTTAGGTGCTGATGATCTATTTATTGGATAAAAATATATTTTAAATAACTTTAGAAGCTAAGTTTATATACTGTCACTAACCATTTCCTATGAACGTATCAATGATTTAACCATTTTGGGTACGTCAAGGAGCCAGTATCTGTTAGTCTTATTTTTTCCAGCAATCACTTGGTTACATGAGATAGTCAAAAATGAGTCACTTGGAAGAGAGCAGCTTTCTACTGATAATACAGAATATTTGGCTTTCCATTAAACGTACCTTCGTTTATTGCTAGTACTTCCTATCAACTATTATTAATAGAAATAAAATTTACCCACAATCCTGTCATTTCAGTAAAACTATTTAAATTATTCCATTTTTCACATTCCTGTCTGGTTCTTTTCCATATCATAACATTCATTGCTCAGATTAGTGTAGCTTCAGTTCTGTAGTCTGCTTTTCTCAATAGTGTAGAATTTTCCCATGTTAGTAAATGTTTTTTTGTAATTTTTTTTTCTGTATTTTTGGTATAGTATGGCTTTTACAGACATTCATCAGAATTTGATCCCTCTGGTTGCTGAATCAACTAAACACAAGGCACCAGAATAATCTGTGTATGACACCTCTTTCCTATCTTCATTGTCATTATTTCCTTTATCATCAGAGATGCTTAAAAAATATCCTTACTTCCAGGGTCATCACTCTTCTGATGCATGAGGTTGCCAGAACTCTGGTCTCCGGATTAATCTGTTACTACACTAGGAAAAAAATACCAAATTTGAGGCTAGGGGAAGACTCACATCAAAATATAATATTACTATCTTCCGCTTGTTAACACAGTCAGCTAGCTTTACTTGACTGCCATGCAACACTATCAAATTACATTATAACTCTATATGTGCATCAGAGGGCAAAGCTTTATTTATCCTTAATAGATATGTATATTCTTCTGCCCAAGAGGGCTATAATGCTTAAGTTTTAAAATACAACTCCTTTTCCTGAAGAATTTGAGTCACTTGAATATAGGCTCTTTAATGTATTCTGACAGGCAGTCTTGAAATATAGATCATTTAAATTTTAAGTCTGATAATTACAGAAATTAAACAATAGAGAAGAGCGCTGAAAGGATGTCCTAGTCTCTAGTCTAGTTCTGCTACTAACTAGCTTCAAGAACTAAATAAACCTTTCTTTGGGCTACACTTTTAATATTCATAAAATGAGGTCACTGTATTAAGGGGCTTATTATATAATCCCTTATTTTTGCCTCTTAAGTTCCAAAAATGAAAAAGATGCTCTTTTGGAACTGTCACTATTTAACATCAAATTGGGATTTAAGTTTAAGATCACATATTACAACTTTTTACTTTTCTGCCCTGCACTTGCACACACATGCACAAAATATTGTCATTTACTCAGATTCGGGCAGGATTTCTTAACCTTGGCACTAATGACATTTTGGGTTGGATAGTTCATTTTTTTGGGGGAGGGGGCGGAGGGATGACAGTTGTCTGTCCTGTTCCGTGTCAGATGTTCAGCAGCATCCCTAGCCTCTACCCATCAGATACCAGTAGCACCCTCCCTCCTCATCTTCCAGGTTGTGACAATCAAAAAATGTCTTCAGATATTGCTAAACATTCCCTGAAGAATAACACTGACCTTCTCCCTCTCCACGTGATTTGTGGAGGTCTCTGAGTCTACTGTTTGGGATTCAGTTCCACTTATTTCACCAACTGGTAGCCCGGGGGTTTGTGCTTGGTCCAGGCTGGCCACTGATGAAAACTAATTCACATTCCACACTCATCCTCTAGATATCAAGCAACTGGACTTTCCCACATAAATGCTGATATTAGGAGACTGAAAAAGTCCTTCTGACTTGTTTCAGTCATTATTTAAAAAAAAAAAAAAAAAAAAGAAAAAGAAAAGTGCCCTGGCTGGGTGGCTCAGTTGGATCAAACCTGGACACCAAAAGGCTGCAGGTTTGATCCTGGGTAAGGACACACACCTAGGATGCGGGTTCCACCCCAGTCAATGCAGGTACAGGGGACAACGGATCAATGTTTCTCTCCAAATCAATAAACATACCCTTTAAAGGCGTTAATGCCCATAAGATCAGGGGAAGTAAGCCAGGCATTAACAGCAGAATCGAGGATTCTGAGGATTCTTTAGAATATTACTGATGCCTAATTCCCACTCCAAAACATTCTGAGTTAATTGGACAGGGACGAGATCTGGTTTCAGGAGTTTAAAAAGCTCACCAGGTGATTCCCGTGTACAATGAAGTCGAGGAACCACTCTCAAACACTTACTGATGAACTGAATATACAGCTCTCACTTATGGCATGCTTTTTAAACAGAAATTCCTGGCCAATACTCAGACCTAATCAGAAATCTGGGGGCAGGAGAGCCCTGGCATTTTGACTTAAGCAGCTCCACTGGTAAACCAAATGCCAAACCAAAGCAGCAAATTACTACTTAAGAACAAAGGAGAATACACATGAAATAGGTCAGGTTTGCCTTTGTCAGTCAGTGGTTCTGAAAAGTTAGTTTGCACCAAAATCAGCTAGAGGGCTTGTTAAAATACACATTGCTAGGCCTGTCCCCAACACTCCTGGTTCAGTAGTTGGGCCCAAGATTTTGCACTCAAGTTTCCGGGTGAGGCTGATGGTGCTGGTCCGCAGGACCACACTTTGAGAACGACCTAGTTTCTGATCTAAAAGGGTAAGCACATTACAGTTTATACGTTAATGGGGATGGGATCCTCAAAGGCCTAATTCATGCCTCTTGGCATGGTTAAAAAGCTACTCCCAGGATAAGCACGCACAGTCCCATTTCCAGAGTTAACCTTCGCACATAAACCATGCGGTTCACAGAATGAATGTATTAGTATAATTACACGTTAAAAGCGGGCACGTATGTGAGCAGCAGGGGGGTAAGGCAGCTTGCTGGATTTCGGAGTATCGGCGGCGGACCCTTCTCATGAGGTGTAGGTCAGAGATCGAGGGCTTTCCCATATACCTAAGCACGACCACTATAGGGGAGTGGGTTCTATTTGCAGCTTTGCCGCTTTTTTGGTGACCTTGGACAAGTCACCTTTCTGAGCCCATTTCCTCTTTGGGCAATCACTTCGGACGTCCCTTCCAACGTGACAACTCGCGGCAGGCAGCGCCGGCCCATACCTGGCAATAGAGCCGATACAGGGGTACGGCGGCGTAGGACGCCCCCAGCATGCCCACAGCGGCCGCGGCCACGTACGTGAGGACGGTCTTGTTCCGCCGCCGCCATTCCTCCTCCTGCGCGCGCGTGTAAGGGTTCGTGCTCTTCGGTCGCCGGGGTACGGCTAGGTCTCCGGCCAGGCTTGGGCGCCTCCATGTTCCAAGGCGCCTCAGCCCCCTCTCAGCACCTCCTGTCCCACTCCTCCCTGGCTTAAGACACTGCTCTACCCACTCCGCAAAGCTGGTCGGAGCCCCAGCGGGACACCATCGCCAGCCACAAAGACCGACGCGCCTCCATTCCGGACGCCAAAGCCCTCCCATACCGCCCAGAAAGAATGCCCGCCTGTCACGCTCGAGGTAAGATCTCGCGACGCCTGCTCTGTCCCGCGATATCTGAGTTGAGCCTGCCGCTACCTTGGCTACCAGGCTCCTCCGGAGCCTACGCCTGTAGTCGAACTACGGAGGCCGGGTTGCCAGGTTACGGGTAAGTTCGCGTTTTGCTTTATGACTGTTGCACACACTTTGCTTCCCTCCGGTACCGTGGTTATAGGAAAACGCCTTATATTCTTCCGCGTGCTTCTGTCATCACTCGGGCTTTTGTCCTCGATCTTCCTTACCTCCATCAGCCTTTGTCTCTGCCTAGCGGCCCCCAGCGGCCGCTGTTCCGCGGTCTTTTTACCAGGGATACTCTGGCCGCTGGTCTGCCGCTTACCGCCCTGGACCTGGGCTCCAGGATCACCTGTCTTAGGAAGCCTTCCTGTGATAACTAACCACAGCCCGCTCGAACGCTCCCGAGCATTTTCTTAGCCCCCGGGAATCGGCTTCCAGTGCTCCGATGCCCCTTAACTTCCTGCCCAGTGAAATTACCGCTTGTGGTGCGGGAGAGACGCTGTTCACCTGAAGTTTGTTTAGAGGAGACTTACCAGGGTATGAGAATCATTTAAGGAAGGACCGAAGGAAAGGGGGCTGTTCATCTTGGAAAAGAAACACGTGTGGGGGATGTGATAGCCTTCTTCAGTTATGCCCCCAGGACAAACTAGGATCCGAGGGGGACAGACAGCATAGCTGATCTTGCTGTAATGTAAGGAAGCATCTTTCCAGAAACTAGAAAGTAGCGACTCAAGAGCTCAGAGTCAGACGTAAGTTTGGATATATACCTGGGTGTTTCCTTTGGCCTTGTGTCCTTGGGCCAGTTATTTGACCTAAGACTTCGTGACCTTATGTAAAATGGGAATCATAACAGTGCGATTATACATGTAAAGTGATTTTCACAGTGTGTGAGGCATAGTAAAAAACTAGTAAATGTTAGGCTTTCTTTCTGATGAGCAGAGATGCCTGAGAAGTGAAATGATTACAATTACTTCACTCTTACTGTGGTCCAGACCCTGTTCAACCTACTGGGGGCCACAGCATGGAAGCCGCCCAACAAGCTCACTTATGTTATGGAGAATTCTTTCTTCTGAAGACTCAGGAGATAACCAAGTAACAGATCCATAAATAAGGGAATTTCACGTAACAATTTGTACAATGAAGACAGTGGAATAAGAAAATAGTGCGATTTTATTATTTTTTTCAAGAGTAAAAATTTTATTTTTGAGGAACTTCATGCTGCTCATTTTCAAAGAGAGCCACATATAAAAGCAAAAATGTTACCCCTCTCTCCCTCCCCCCCATCCTAGAAATAAGGGATAAAATTTCTTTTTAAATCACCACACTTGGAAGTTTAACACCAGCATTCTAAATGAACAGAAAAGGGGTTAAAAAATATTTACTATATATTTCAGATTTCTTTGGGGTTCTCCCCATGTGCTATTTATATTTCTTCTTTCAATTCATATTACCGAAACAGTAAAAAACAGGAAAAAAAATATAAACCTAGTTAGTGGTTGCTGAAACTGGGGAGGTTGCTGTCTTCTGTGCAGGTATTCACGGAAAAATTGCTGGAAAAAATCAGCTGACATTTATACGTGTTTTATAAAGAATAATCATAAACATTCCAATGTCCACATCTTGGTTATTGGTCTTACACTTTATTGCTTGGATGTTTCTTTGGTGTTGGTAAGGTGGCAGTCTACTTTTTGCTTTATTTTTTGAATGGTCGTAAGGTCAGCTGCTGAGGGTGAAAGTGCTTGGGGAGCCTGGTGTTACTCAGCACCGGTCTCTGAAGGCGCTTCACCTGCGTTGGCCTCTTTGCCATCTTGTGAAGGAGCATTAGGAGGACCCAGGTGATGCCAATAATTGTGTGGGCGCCGGTATCCGCCGCGATCAGATGGCTTGTTTGGACCATTGGCCGATTGTTGATTCTCTCCAGCCTCTCCCACCGCTGGGGCAGGTCGTGGGCCACGAGGTCTCCTATGGGACCTTGTAAGATAAGTTGGATTTCGATGACCCGGCCCCTGAAGTTGCGCTCCCTCTGGGACTCCATCCTTCATCTCTCCGATCTCACCCGCGTTGCGGGGAGGTCCATGGCATCTGCCATAGTAGCCACGTCGGTAACGGCGCTGATGGGCAGCGTAACGGCTCCCTTCCACGGGAAGGCCATCTTGGCCAGTCACGTGGGCCGCTTCAACACCCTTCTCTCCTTCAACCGCCTCGAACTCGACAGTTTCTCCTCCTACACTATGCAGGTATTTCCGTGGGTTGTTCTCCTTGATGATGGCAGTCTGATGTACAAATACATCTTCTCTGGTGTCATTTTGACTTATAAATCCATATCCATTTCTGAAGTTGAACCATTTGACCGTGCCAAGGACTTTGATGACCAGAACTTTTTTCTCCGGGTCTTCACTGCCTGTTGGGGCTGAAGAGGCGGGGCCAGGGGGGATACAGGGGTTTCCTGTGAGAAGGGCACAGGGTGCTGGGGCCTCGGCCTGGGACCTGCCACCACCCACCAAGCTCTTGGGTGCAGGGTGCTGGGGGACTTCGGGAGCCTGCAGGACGGTGGCAGTGGCCTTGCCCGCCTCACTCATGCCGCCTGCTTTGCTCGGACTTGGGCACCTCGGTGGCTGTTGGTCGGAGGTTAGTGCGGCTGGTGGTCGTGGCGGCCAGGCTCGTTCTCGGGGAGGCTGATGCAATCTCGAGGCGCCGGTGGCAGCACCCAGGGTGGGGTCTCACAGCGGAGGTGGCTCGAGGTCTGGGGCGGCCGCTCTTTGATAATAGCGTGATTTTAAATGATGAGGAGGAAAGGTAGTAAAGTCAAGTTTTACTGAGGACGTGACATTTGATCCTAGTCCTGAATGATAAGAAGCTGCCTGTACAATAACAATTCTGTCATGCAAAGTCCCAGAGGTGAGGCAGGAGAAGAACAAAAAAGAGGCCAATGCGTTTGTAGCATAATGAGCTACAGGAAAGTGGTTAGAAAATGGGGTCAAAGCAGGTGTAAAAGGGCCAAATAATACAGAGGCTTTTTAGCCATGTCCAAGGGTTTGCCTTTTATTCTAAAATGAATAGGAAGCTGTGGGTGAATTTGAAGCATACAAGTGATCCGATCTGATTCGCATTTTTATTGTTCGTGTTGTAGAGAATGGATTAAAGGGAAGGGAGGGGCAGAAATGGGAGTCGGCAATTACAGTAGTCCAGGTGAGTGATGATGGTCACCTTGAGTGAGTAATTGATTAACTTGTGATCACAAGGCCAGAAAATTGCAAAACAAATAAAATCCAAGCACCTTCTGACTCTTGCCTACTCTGGCACAAAAATCTCAAGATTCTATGATTCTACAAATCTATTTGTATTGTTTTATGTGAGTGTTTGAAAATCTTTTTCATCTCTATCTCTCTTAGTTCTTATATCAGATTGTCCACTCTTTCAAGACAAGATCGGTCATATTTTAAATTTCTTACAGCATGGACTCAAATAACCCCATGCAAATGTTAATGTCACAGAATACAAGAGTACATTCCTTCCAACATTCTCCAGGCAGCCCTTTCATGTAGCAACAGGTAGCAGTGCATACCAATGTCAGTAATAGTGTCTTTGTCTTGGAGTATATTATTTTATTTTGTTTTGTAATTGCAAATGAAACTATTCCTTTCCAAGGTGCAATAATTGTGATAACGATAAAGTGGTGTTGGCTACAATTCTTGTGAGTCTATGTCTGCTTGTGATAATGCGTAAATCACTATGATAACTAATGCTAAATGATGGGTTCTACCTTGAATGGAATGGGAGCACCTCAGGTCAAGGCTAGTATAACCTTATTCTGCAGGTAGAAATGTTGATTAGGAACTTAAAATATTGGGGCTGGACTGAAATTTCACACTTGGCACCTCTAATTTGTAATGTCCCAGTTAGTTATTAATTAATTAAAAAATTAATCCTAGTTAGCTATGATCATGTCTAATTTTATATAGTAGGTACAGTGGGTTGTTATTATTTATACAAATCATTTTGGGGGTGGGGAGTGAGAGAAATGATGAAGGTGGAAAAGAAAGAAAATAAATTTTGATAGTCACGTATTTTCTTATCTGATTCCAGACTTTCTGAAGACTTCAAGGATTATAAAGATGTGTTATTTTTAAAATTTGCTTTCTAATTTTTGGCACTTTTAATGGATAATATAAATTAAGGAAATCCAACTTAAATCTTAATATATTAGTTACTGAGCTGTATTTCTTAACTGTATGTTTATCTAATATAGTTACTGGGTTCATTTAGCAATGTGAAATAACCTAACAATTAATCTCCAGTACAAACAACTGTTTATTTGGTACCTATCTGTTATAAGATTTTCCTTGTACCTAAAAGTGGAAGAGTAATGCATTTGAATAAACAGTAAGAACAAATGAATCCTAGTTTGCTTGAAACTAGGCTGGATAATCACTGTGTTCCAATTAGATGAGTTCACACTAATGACATGAAGTTGCCTCAGTAAGTCTTGATATCCTACTTTCTTATTCCTGGCATCTTTCTTTAAGTCATATGATTCAGGGGCTACTCCATTTTAAAGTTTTGGATAAGTTTATATGATTAATAGATAAGATGAAATGAAACCAGTAGAATCATTCATCAGTAGAAGGCATTTATTTTTTTCAAGTAACTTTTATCAAGATCAGGGCCAGCTTCATGGGTGTGTGATCTGTGCAGTTGCACAAGGTGCTACTTTTAAGACAGCCCCTGGCTTAGTTGGGCCCTATATTTGGTTTAATCCTCTGCTGTCAATATCTTGAAATAATTTGTTTTAAACAGGAGCCTTGAATTTGTATTTTGTACTGGCCCCAATATCCATGTTATATTTCAAAAACAAACTGACTGATACTCTGACATGATTCAGGGTAATACACAATCAGCCTATCAGGAATAGCAGAGGTTATAAATAAAGGAAAGAGATAAGGCAAAAGGCAAATTCAGGTCTTCTGAGAATAGTCAGGTTGTATGAAGTAAGATCAAGCAAAAATCCAAACCCCTTTCCATGACCCATAAGACCCTAGTTAGTCTAGACCCGGCCTATGTCTCTAACTTTATCTCTGATCCATCTCTGCACTCACTGTGCTCCAGCTGTGCTTCTGTCTGCTGTAAATGTCCCAGATTTATTTTCCTTCCTCGAGACCGTTTCTCTGCCTGGAATACTTTGTTCCTCAAGTTTTTTCCTGATTGACCTATTATTTGGATCTTGGCTGAAATACCACTACTCAACCCAAATTAGCACTTCTCTGTCCAGTCAAATTTGATCACATCATCTTTGGGTATCTGAAAGTTCATTGTGCTGTTTCCTTTTTTTTATTGCTTTCCTCCCAACACTAGAATGTAAATACTGTAAAAGCAGGGACCTTGGATTGTTCAGTACAGTAACTCAAGCACTTGGCGTAGTGCCTGCACGTGATTGTGCTGAGTAAGTGGTGGATGAGTGCATGAATATAGCAAGAAGAAGGGATCCAGCCTAAGGAAACTTCTGAGAACCGTGAGCTGTTACTCTGATGAAGATCTCATGTTTCAAACAGTCTAGGACTCCTTTGAAGCTTTCTGCTGTTTCCCACAGGATTGGGCTGTGTATTACAGGCAGATGCTGTGCGTCCACCCCAAGACAAATGAGTAGCGTTCCTGAACTGTTTAGATCCCTGAAGGGAAAAAATGCACTGGTGGCTGGAAAATGGCTTTTGGGTACAGAATAAAAGAGAGAGTAAAAGAACTCTTTGATCTTTTGTAACTTGATTTCTTGAAACTTTAGTCATTTTTAAAAAGATCATTTAAGTAGAGTTTAGCCCAGGGAAGGGAGTTATTCCTGATTTTTGTCAGTTTCTTAAAAACTGTCAGATTATATAAATAGCCAATGCTACGTTGAAGAATCTCTGATGTGATAAAACATACAAGTTACCAGTTTCTAAACACTGTTATTTTTGTCTCCTCAAGTATAATTCCGAATCTATAGGTCTAACCTTACAAGAAGCAATACTTACATTTTTAATATTAGTTTCAGTGAATCTATAAATGGTAGGTATTTCTAACTTGTCAGTGACAGGATCCACACAGATTATTTATTGGATACAGCACCTGATGCCCTCCTCCTCCCCTGCAATGATATTAATGTAAAACTTCACCACACAAGCACTCTTTTTTCCTCCCCTCAAATTCCTCCTTGAAAGACCTGACTGCAGGCTACCCCATTCCATTCGTGGGCCAGACTGATCTTGGAGGTTTTAAAAAGATATTAAAAAAGAAAATCTTCTCCTTGAGGGGAAAAAAAAAACAGGGGGACTTGTACTGTAATAAACACAGAATAGAGGTGGGATTTAAAAAAAAAAAATTTAATGTAAATTTTTATTTTTTTCCCAAGGGTACTCACTCTCCTTCAAAAATAACCCCCAGAGTCATCTCCTTCCACCTCCCCGCTTTCTCCCTTTATTCAGTTTATTGGGGTGACACTGGCTAACAAAATCATACAGGTTGCAGGTGTACAATTTCACAACACATCATCTTGTACACTGTATTGTGTATTCCCACCACTTCAAGCCAAGTCTCTATCCATCACCATTTAAATTTTTATTTATCAATAAAATTCTTGTGATTTTTAGAGCAAAACAGGACCTTTACAGGTCATTTTATGAATGGTCTTGTCATTTTGCATGTGAAGGAACTGGGCAGGAGAGAAGAAACTAGGCAGCAGAGTCGCACGGCTACGTGGCAGCGAAAATGCAACTCGAACTCGGACACGTTAACTTTGAGCCCAGTGCTCTTCCTGATGCAGTGGACTGTCTTCCTTTTTCTTTCTTTCTTTTTTTTTTCAAATGAAAGGTAACTTTATTACTAGAGAAGAGAAAAATGTACACAGGGAAGCCCAGATTCTTTTTCCTCCTGCACTACTTTTGTAATAAAGTTCCAAGTATCAACTTTGAAGGTATTTACAAGGATAAACTTTTTACAAATGTGACCATTTACTGTGCAGTGGACATTTTTTAAGAAATAGAAATCATATACTTCAACTAAATAAATTCTGATAGTTTACCAAAAGCTTAGAGCACTGTATCAACAGGTGAAATATTTCACTGCAAAATATTATAAAAGTGATACAATTCTGTGGCTCTAAATGTTTAACTACTTGATCTGAACAAATCAGTGAATTAAGAAAAAAGTCAACAGAAAAATCAAGACAGGCCTGGCTTTAAGATTTGTGTGTGTGTGTGTGTGTTCAATCCATTCTTCCCTATCACCTCCCATTAGCTGATACACGTAAGGGACTACTGTAGACAACTGAATATCCATCCACACAAGTGAGGGAATAATCTTTGTTTCCAAGACATTGTACGCTCCAGTGGCAGAACCTGGGGCAATGAAGAACTTATTTTCATGCTCAGATGCTTCCCATTTGTGTGTGTGTTGTGAGACAAGAAGGTCCACATCATACTGCTACTGCAACAGGGCCACGCTGTTACACCTCCCCAGGGAATAACTCGATTTCCAGGGATCAAACCAATTTTGAACTGCCTCACAGCCACAACTTCCTGTTCTGGATCATTCAGATTCTCACCGAAGTCTCCTCTCACAATGTGAACACCACCCGCCAGCCACAGTCTTCAGATAGTCATAACGCTCTTTGGCACAAAGATTTCCAGTGCAGAGAATATACTTAATCATTCCTGGTAACAGCGGCAAACTATTGCCCTGGTGTGGGATGCGCAGGTCGCCTCCTACCAGCAGCAACATCCTGCCGCGGGGCTCCACACACTGCGCTTTCATATGAGAAACCAGTGGCAAGGAGAATTTCAAAGTGTTTTTTTTTTTTTCAACATAATCAAATAATAATTATTTTCACAATAATTTCAGGTGAAATTAACATTGAATACGGGAATGAATTCTTCCATTTATTCATTAACATTGTGAGTTTATACTGTTTGTAAACCCTTTACTCTCATGTTAGTGAGCTCGTTCAAGGATAAGATACAAGCCAAACTGCCATTTTTAACCAGAAATCAGATTTAATAAATACTTAACTTTATTAAGGGATAATTGATTTAGAACAAGCAACACATATTTAAAGTGAGACAGTTTGGTAAGTTTTGACATGTGTATTCATTTGTAAAACCATCACTATTGCCTACTGTACCTATGAAGAAACAGCCAGCAGGTCCAGTGGGGACCCAGGTGTATCTGATGTCAAGGTCTGTTCTGTAGTTCTGCAACCTGAACTCTAGCTGGGAAAACAACCAATGACTTTTTTATTTGCATGGGGAAAGTACACAATCTCTCTGACTCTAGCTGCTGATTACTAAGAGGGTTGTACTAAATGATCCTAAAATCTTTTTTAGCTTTAAGTTTGTATATTTCACTCATCTTTCATTCATCTTATGCAGAGGTGGTAAATCTCTGTTCAAATATTATTCTTTTTATTAAATGCAACAACTATTCTCTGTAATTTTCATAGTGGAGCTCTATGAGACATTAAAACATTTTTTTTCTTTTGATAGGAAAATATTGAAGAAGCTTGTGGAGTAATATGAGTCAGAGTAATCTAGGATCTGCAGGAAGTCCCTCAAAGTAGTTGGTGAGACAATACGAATTTCAATTTTCTCTGACAGCGTATTGTATGATTATTTTGCAGACATTCTGACTATAAACTTCCTAGCCTTGTGCTCACAAGAGACATTTCCTTCAGTCTTTTGTTGTTATGTGCTTTTTAAGCATACTCATGGTAGAAGCTCTAACAGTTACCTAAGCTTACCCATAGTCTTCACTTCTGTCAGATAATGCAGATTTCATATAGATATAAATGTTAATAATGATACCGTTATATTCCTGTACCTATATCTATTTATCTACAGAACTATCTTTACATTTCTTAGACAACTATGAGCAATGGCAAAGCCTAAAATAATTGAAAATATTTCTAATATCTACACGCAGGCACATACTTTATGTGCCAAATGTATGTGATGTTTTTACTCAAAGCCTAAACTAAATTTGACTGTTCTAAGACATGATTACTTGTTTTCTGCTTCCCCAATCTTAGGAAAAGAAGTATTTATAGACTCTTCAAGATTTTCACTTACACGGGTGTTAAATGCAAGGCCACTGTGGTGAGACCATGAATAAGAACACATCTGCTGTGGTACCATCCGGTCTACTTGAAAAGTAATTGTTAAATTAAATTTAGTATGTTTTGAACTATAACAGTTTGAAATCTGTACAATATTAATGAGACCACAGCTAACAACCTGTGGTCTAGGATAGCAGTAATCAGAAGTTGATCAATAATCACCTTTCCGTGTGAATAGGGCAAATTCTGCATTCTCGTTTAGAATTGTTTTTTGAGATTGCTTTATAAAAATTGATCTAATTTTTGAATATCTAAAATATGTTTATAATTTCAATATAACATAACATTAATTTTGCTGAGTAACAAAGCATCCCAAAGTGCCTTAAAAATGCAAGCTTTTATTCTTTGTCGGGATTTTGTAATTAATTCTTCTGGTATGCACTCAATGATGTAGGATGGCCCCATTCACAAAAAGGTAGCATATTATATGTCTGTTTTGACCTCACCTTTTTTTAACTTAAAATTATGCTCTGACGATCACTTCATATCCGTTTATAAAGATCTTCCTTGTACCTTGTTATAACTGTATAGTATTTTAGCATATGGCTGTACTATAGTGTATTCAGGCAGCACTTTATTGATGGACATTTGAACTTATGCCAAAATGAATAACCTAGCATCAAGTCATTTCATATTTTTTGCCAGAATATCTTTGGTATAGGTTCCAAGAAATAGGGTCGCTCCAGTAGAGGGTAAATTTCGAGATGACCACATTCCCTTGTCAGGGGTTACACCATTGTGTATTTCCACCAACAGTGTACAAGGACACTTTCCCCGCAGCCTTGTCATCAGGGTGCATTGCCAGAGTTTTACATATATGTCAACCTGATAGATGAATGGCATTAACTCTGCTTAGTTTTAACTTGTACTTTCTTATTACAATTAAAGTTGAGCAGCAGAACTATTTTTAATAGCAGAAAAAGGGATATAAATTCTTAACAATAGGGGAATTTAAAAATAGGATCCTCACAGTGATACTGTGTTGACAGTAAATACTCTGTTGTGATTAGAAAAAGAGGGATCCTTTACTGAAACAATAATATATGCTGGAGATTGTGCGTGTCCCCATTAAAGGAAATCCATATTTAGAGATTACTGGAGGTGTCGAATGAGACACCTGTGTTCTCTCCTTTGTCACTTTCACTTGTAAGCTTCCTTCCTTTATGCCCTTGTAAGCTAATATCCCATCAAAAATGGGTTGAGTTTCTGAAATCCATGACAGTGGAACATTTTAGACTCAGTCCTTTCCTTTTTTAGCTATTAACAGATAGGCCTTAGGACACTGGAGCTGAATTCAGTATAATGCAACTCTAAAAGATGAGCTTTATAGACAGCAAGATATTAAAAAACAGGGAGTTTGTAAGTTTTTAAAAAATTTTTTTCTTCATTTTTTATAATCTGAATTTGAATACAGGTTTTCTTAAAGATATACAGCAGGTCCTCAAATAACATTATTTTGTTATAACGTTGATGAGATGCTGTAGGAACTTAACTCTTGTTAAATCAATTAACCTACGGTAAGATTGGCTTCATTACATACTGTCTTCAGTAAAGTCCCAGAACCTGTCAACAATGTGAAGGGAGGACTTAACTGTAGTTGGAAATTCTATGGCAGAAATGAAGAAAGCTTTTAATTAATTAATTTATTTATTTGTTTATTTATTTATTTAATTTCTGCGACTATTCAGGGTCGTTTATGAAGAAAACTTTTTCTAAAAGCTATAACCATCTGTAAGATACAAAGTAAATAATTGTTTTATTAACAGCCTCAGTTCTTTGATATGTTTGAAGGTAGCTGGAATTCCCATATTAAACAGTGGCTGTAATATACCAATGAAGCAGATTTCATACCACATTTTGCCTCTGGAATAAGGCAGACTGGGTTCATGTTGCCATTCTCCAGTTTTGTAACCATAGGCCACCAGGTTAACCTTTCTAGGTTTTCATTCCCTTAGAAAAATGAGGGTTATAATCTTAGGGATTTTATAAATAGTAAGTTGAATGGCATAATATATGTGTATTATTTAGCGCACTACCCAGTACATAATAAATAAGCAGGCAGCCCTAAGCCTTATTTCAGTCTTTATTAACCAGTAAAAGTAAAAGCTCTGACCAGAGTGTTCGAAAACGTAACTTGGGAGTATAACTTTCACAGAATTCTTTTGACGGGTCCTTCTTTACTAATGGCATTGCTCTTACGTCTGGTGGAAATTACAGCGAGAGTGGGTGCTTTGCACGAGGAAGATACTCTTTCCAAATTAAAAGGATGAACTTTTTTTTTTGCAACTCAAATGGAGGTGATATTTATATTGTTTTAAATGCCCACATACCTGTCTTTTAAAGTCACTCACCTAACTCATTAAAATATTTAGTATTGGAATTCTTCAGTGTAGTCTACAAATCAGTAATAGCAGATCTTTTTAGTCACCTCTAATAAATTTTAAAATTTACCTCAATAGTATTTTTAAAGTATGTTTCTTTGTTCTCCAAAGAAGTAAGCATTATTGCTGTAATTTCTTTTATGGTTTAGTTATTTTATAGAGAAAATTAAAAATACAGATAAGAAAATCCATTTGATTGCTTTTGTTTCACTACACTTTAAAAAATGTCATTGCTAATATGGACTGAGTACTTCGAGTTATCTAAATCTGAGAATTTTATTTAACAAGTGGTTTAAGGAAAAAGTGCCATCTCTCGCTAACCTATGTGTGCTAATTTACTTTATCTTAGGGATCCTGCCTTTCAGATGATTACAGTTACCAAGGAAACAGGCCTTGGTCTGAAGATCCTAGGAGGAATTAACCGGAATGAAGGTCCATTTGTATATATTCAAGAAATTATTCCTGGTGGAGACTGTTATAAGGTAAAAACAAAACAAAACAAAACAAACAAAACAAAAAAACCACAACCAAAAGAAAAAACGTCTCACCAAAAAACAAATCCACTAATAATAAGGTTTGTTTTTCTAGTTCATCAGTATATTTTTAATATTAGCTCAATGTTCACTGTGACCATTTCTCAATGAAAGATACAAAGGAACTGAAAAATAGACCTTTACCCTCAAGGACCTTTAACCTAAGAAATGTATATGAAATAAATGTGAAAGTAACAGACTTCAGCCTCTAACTAAAGGTTATATCTTTTTAATTAAAAGCTGTTCAACTCTTATCCTACTTTTGGTTGAGAGAAATTATATTTGGAGGCATATTATCTATCTGCTGCCCTGAGTTTGGATTCAGTTGAATCACTTAAACTTGAACTATATTCATTTGGCCTCTCCTGAATGCAAAACAAAATAAAAGCTCAATTCATTTCTGAATTTATAGTAATTCTTGTTGAGTTTGTTAATTATATCACTAATTAGTTACCCACATAAGAAATTAAATTTAAAATCTGTATGAGAAATTAGTTTTAGAATTAAGACCAGAAAACATCCTTTTTTAGGAATTACTGGGTTGGCCAAAAAGTTCATTTGGTTTTTTCCGTAAGATGGCTCTGGTAGCGCTCAGTTGTCTTTAACTTTATTTATTAGAAACAATTTTGTTGGATTGTATTGTGACAGTGCACATTTTCTTAAAAACTTATCAAAATTGGTAAATTTTTATGTAGCCATTTTAATATTGAAGGTGGAAGAAAATATGCAACATTTTTGGCATACTATGCTTTATTATATCAAAAAAGGTAAAAATTTAACTGAAACACACAAAGAAGATATGTAGAGTGTATGGAGAAGGTTCTGTGACTGATTAAATGTGTCAAAAGAGGTTTGTGAAGTTTCGTGCTGGAGATTTCTTGCTGGATGATGCAACTCAGTCAGGTAGACTAGTTGAAGTTGATAGTGATCAAATTGAAATATTGAGAAAAATCAACATTATACCATGCAGGAGATAGCAGACATACTCAAAATATCCAAATCAGTAACATTATTGGTGAAAATGAAAAATGTGTCTTTTATTTTACAGAAAAAGCCATATGGACTTTTTGGCCAACCCAATAGAAAATTGCTCTCTTCTTCCATATAAGAAATATGTAAAGCATGAACTCCTTTCTCCTCTAGCTGCTTGGAATCTCAGACCAAATTTGAAGCACAATACCAGCACTTTAGTTAACACACTGATTACGATTTGTATTCTCATCTCTCTTGGATATAATTACCATTTTTGTTTTATTAATGTGATTATATATGTCTTTTATTGAATATTGCCTCCAGTACTTTTTGGAAATAATATAGTATATAAAGAATTTAATATAATACCAAACTGCATAATATAAGAAAGGATCCTCTTATCATTAGGTTTGTTCATATCATTGTTTTCTTATTCTACTTTTTGTTTGAATAAATAGTCCCACTCATATCCCCATTCCTACCCCAAACACTTGTTTAGCAAGCAGTTTATCTATTCTACTAGATTTATTCCTCTCTTAGAAAAAAAAATCAGTTTAGTAATAACTTCCAAAATAATAGAAATGATTTTGTTTCATGCTTGTTGAGATCTTCCAGATACATGAATTGTAATTATACACAATAAGTTTGCAGTGTTAAAATGATATAAATGTTTGGCTATTTAAATTACTGACCAAATAAGAACTTATTTAAGTGCTAAACTTAAATATAAACAAAAATAAATTTTTTCTGGTAAGAATTGAAATGTTTAGTATTCAGCTTTGAAGCTGAGGGGGGGTGTGTGTGTTTGATATAACTAAGGAATTTCTTAAACTGTACTTGATATGCAGCAATAATAGATCACAGTACCTAACAAGTGATAAGAATTTGCTTTTAAGACAAGTATCAATTTGCGCTTTTATAGTCCCATGAAAAATATGTGTAATTAAAGTAATAAATTGATGGTGGTGGTGCTGAGTGACTCCTTAACAGCTGTCATTGATAGCAGACTAAGAAATTATACTCATAATATATACTTTCTTACTGGTTTTCTTTTCTTTTTTATTTTTTTAATTTTTTACTGTTCAAATACATTTGTCTCTATTTTCCCAGCCCCACTTTCCCCTCCCCCACCTACCCCACCTCCCTTTTCTTAGAATTTCGTGGTTTGAAAGGCTGTTAAAAAGCAAAACCCTGTAGTGAACTATGTTGTATGTTTACCACTAGGGAGCAGCACAGAGTTATTAATGTTCTTTGACTATACTTGGTCCTGTCCAAGAGAGAAGAGCCACAGTAAAAATAAAAGGTGTAGACAGAGAATAAATAAGTTTGCAATGCTTGCATTTATTTTTTGTGTGCTTCCTCATGATAGAGAATTATATGCATATTTACTCTGCAGATACAAAATGAATGCTATTTTATTTTTAAAAAGTTTTATGTTAATAGCATATACTGTGTTGGAATGTTAATAAACTCCTCATCTGCACAAAATTTCTGCATAGTAAGAATATTCAGAATAGGAAACACAGGCTATAAGGTTATTCTTGTTAAGTTGTTGAACTGAGCAACTGTTAGTATTTTTTAAATGCACGTAAGTGCTTTGACTTCCTCTAATTTTCACATAGTATTTCAGAATGAACAATACAGGCAATCTCAAGATTAGATGGAATATATTCCATTTATATCCCTAAACTTCGTATGTTAGGGAATTATTGGAGCTCAGAAGGAGTCTTTAATCACACAGCTGCTGCCGCTGCCCCCGCCTCCCAGCCTCCACCCCCACACACCCACACAAATGTTTCTGACCTGGCCAATATGACATGCAATTATGGTTCAGTAACCAAAATATTATGTTTCTTTGAAAAACATATTCAGAGTTCAAGCTTGTGAAATCTTGAAAACACATTTCCAGTTCAAGTACAAGAGAAGATTATCCCAGCCCTAAAGGAGCTGGAGGCCGCCTGTAGGTTAAAGACAAATGTCCTGGGTACTGAGTTAAGGAAATATAAGAACTCCAAGTCCCTTTTCATCTCACTAGCTAGTCCGTATCAGTCTGGAATCATCAATGTTTGATCTTAGACCTTTTTCTGGCCTAGCTACTCTGTGAAGCTTCATGCACATGTATCCAGTTGCCTCATCAACATTCCCGCTTGGATCTCTTAAAGGATCTCAAACTAATTTGTGGCAGGACCCAGGGTCACACCACACCCTCATCAGCCCATCTCTTCCCAAACAAGCCCTCTTCCAGTGTGTCCCATCTTGGTGAATGATAACCTTCTAGTTGTACAGTCAAAAAACTAACAGCATCCTAACTACTACCTCTCCCTTAACACCCATATCTCGTCCATTAGCACGTACTGTTGACTCCTCTCTCCTTATTTCTTGAACCTACCCATCTTCATGATCGCCACTGCCACCACCACAGCTTAAAGTGCCAGCAGTTTTTACTAGACCTCCCTATAGTTTTGTCAGCTTATGTGCTCCATGCCCACTTCCCTCCCAACCTATCTTACTAATACTTAGTTGCCTACAAGGCTCTGTATTCAATACAATGGGAACTCTGCCCTTGACTTCCCTGGCTCTTCACCTGTATGCTTCCAGGGGGCGTTCTTTCAGTTCCTGGGGGGACCCACGCTCTTTCTCATCTCATGCGCTATTCTCTCTGACTGGGAAGAGCCCCCACTCCCTCCACCTCTGCTTTCTTACTACTCCCAGATATCATTTCAAACACCGCTTTCTAAGAAATGTGTTCCTGGCCCCCACCCCCAGGTTTTTTATCCATACACATGCTTCTGGATCCTGTTGCTTGCTTTTACCTACCTCAATGTGTAATTGTAAACTGATATCTGTGATTATTTTATTAACTGAACCACAAAGCAGTATGTTTCCTAAGTGCAAGGATCCTACCTGATTTTATTCACAATAAAATTCTGAGCCTTCAGTGTGGTGCCTGACATATAGTTATTCTTCACCTAGTATTTATGAATGAACAAGTGATGCCGTCGTCAGTCTGACGTTTCGGAGACTTAGGGATCTGTTTACCATTTCCCTCTCACCATCTGGGCTCACACCAAGGTACCTCCTCCCTGGCCCTTTGAGTCAGATTCTGGAAACACTTTGAAGTTTTTAAATGTTTTTAGTTTGTTTCTTTGTTCTGCTAATAATGTAAGGAAAGCAGGAAGGGGTCAAATGCTTTTCTTCAAACCTGATACATTATTGCGCGCGCGCTCTCTCTCTCTCTCTCTCTTTCTCTCTCTCTCTCTGAAATTGAGGTGAGTCTATTTATAATCAATGTTATAATGTAATTGGCAGCATTTTTTTCTCTTAATGATATTTACAATAATGGTACATCTTACAAATCCATGTCATTTTGGATTTGATAAACTCAGGACTCTTTTTGTCAAATCCCCTAGATACAGACAAAGATCACAAAAATACAGGTACTGATGGTTACCTGTCATTCACAAAGGCTTCAAGTAGGACATTGTCAGCTTTCAGAGGAAGTCTGTTTTCAGAGGGTGTGAGGCATATCATGGGATCGAGGCGTTTTAGACAGACAGGGCAAAGGCCTCTGGAGGGCAGGGGGTAAGGAGACCAATCCCATCGGCGGAGCTAAAGGAGTAGCAGCCAGGAGGGTTCATCTTGCAATGTCACTCTCTGTCCCCCTTTGTCATTATTATTTCTGCTAAAGCCACCTTAATTCCCTCTGTTTCCCAGACCTGATTAATTTACTGTGGACTTGCTGTGTACCTGGCGCTATGCTGGGGGAAACAGCCGTGAAAAGGACATGGTCTGGTCAGCTGAGAGTCAGTGCTGCTTGTTGGGGAGTCGCTGAATTAATATGCTCCAGTGCAGCGGTCCTTAACCTTTTTGGCACCAGGGACCGGCTTCATGGAAGACAATTTTTCCTGGAACCAGAGCGTGGGGGTAGGGAGTCAGGAGGTGGAGCTCAGGTGGTGATGCAGCTGCATCCATGGACAGGGAGGAGGGAGATTGCAAGGAAAAGGGTGTAAGGATGGGAAAGAAAGAAGGGCAGCGCAAAGGAACTGCAATAGTATAGGTAATTAAAACCGCTTTTGGAGCAAAGAGAAAGGAACAATTAAGTAAATCCAGGGAGCTGGGGAAAACTTACAGCAGGGATAATGTTTGGTTTTGGCTGTGAAGTTTAAGTGAGAGTTCATCAGAGAGAGAAGTGACAGGGTGGGTGGTGTTATCCTAGACAGAAATTAGCACGTGTAAAAGCATTAGTGTTTGAAGAACATTTTCTGAAAATAGAATGAAGAATTCATATGCTAAGAATGGCAGGTGGATGATGAAGCTATAAAAAGCAGGCTGCAGTTTGTTTTGCTGGGTTTGCGAAGTTCAGGAGTTTCAACTTTTCTACCAGTGGGCAGTCATCACAGGTTCTTAATTTAGGAGTAACAGGATTAAATTTGCTGTCAGTGTGAAAATTGCCCGTAACAGATTTGGTATTGTGACTTGACTCACCTGTGTTTAACACCTACAGTTTGCTGTGGTTTTATGTATGTTATTTAATTGTGACATCAACCTTGTGTGATAGGTGTTTATCCCCTCTTAACAGCTAAGAAAATTGAGTCTCACAGAGGTTAAAAAACTCACTTTTTTTAGAAAAGAGTTTATTTATTTATTTTTAGAGAGAAGGGAAGGGAGGGAGAAAGAGAGGGAGAGAAACATGAATGTATGGTTGCCTCTTACATGCCCCCTACTGGGGACCTGGCGTGCCACCCAGGCATATGCCCTGACTGGGAATCGAACCGGCAACCCTGTAGTTTGCAGGCCAGCACTCAATTCACTGAGCAATACCAGCCAGGGAAACAACTCACTTAGCTTCTCATAAATAATTAGTGATTTAAAAACAGGACACCTCCAGCTGACAGTTTATGGCAGTATAGGAAAGGATCCAAAGGCTTTTTGCAAGAGCATCCCTTGGTATTTCGGAACAATGAGTTAGTTAAATCACAGTCAGACAGTATAGATGGTTTCTGATAAGGTAAGATGTTATTTAAAAAACTACATAGTTGTCATTATAATATGAAATAAACAGTGTTGGTAGTTTATAATAGGATTATTAAAGTAGTCAGGAGTACATTATTAATTCAACATGTCTATAAATGTCAACCTGAAAGATTTTAGACTCTGAGGCTGGGCACGTGAGAGTGCTTGACACATTGCCTGTTGTGTTGTATAGTTGCTCTGTAACTGCTGAGTCAGAATCTAGACAGTGTGGAAGAGGCCTCTGAAGTTAGTATCTTCACATATACATTAATCCAGCTGGGGCAGAATTCACTGGTTTTGAATGCCAGACTTTTACAGAAATAGCTTTGTTTTAGTTTGCAGGTTCTGACTTTTAAACAGGTTCAGAAATTCACATGATCTGCTAAGATTTTATTCTAGGAAACAAAAAAAAAAAAAACCCATTTCTGTGAATACTTTTTAGAAAGAATATATATAAACACAGAAGCCAAAGTCGGAAGGTGTTGTTCTTCCTCTCTTCGCTGACTCTTGTTCTGCTTGAAAATGCTACCTAAATACATCAGTGCACTTTACTACAAGTTATGTTAAATTGCCTTTATGAGAGCTTTTCTGTCTGTATGCTAACCCCATACCTACAGCCTGAGAGGAGAATGTGGGAGGTTGTAGGTCAGCCTAAACCCTGTTGTCTACTTCTATTTTCTGTAGCCTTTTTCTCTGCAACCCTGACAACCAACTGTGGTTTCTCTAAGAAGCATAGATACAGGAGCTGCCTCAAACACTTTAGAATCTAGTTATGTGTTGTTGGTTTCTTTTTTGTGGAGGTGATTGTGCGCCTCCCCACCTGCTACCTTCTCTTTCTCTCATTGTTTATGAACATCTAGCTAGCAAGATGGGCCTTTGGATCCAGGTCCATCTGGCTGCCAAATCTGGTGCCCTTTCCACTTCAGCCCACAGCCTCTGAAAGCTCCTGCCCAAAGGACAGGCAGTTGCGTTGCCATCTGACTTACAGGTGTCATTGTAGAATTTCCTCTTTTCAAGAAAGTTTAGTAGAAGGAACTGTTAACACCAAGAATTCACACAAAGTAACTTAATATTTAATACGTGCCACCCCATTTCTTTCACCTTTCTTTCCTTGACAGTGGCTTTTAAATGATTTGCTCCAATGAAGCAGGATTTCTTTATTTTCCTTCCCCCGCCCCCCGAAATTGTTGCCAGGCTTTGGGATACAAATCTACCTGTGAGAGGGGACCCAAAAAACCCAGAATTTATTTATTAAAAATTGTGTATTTACTCTTACATATTTAAATTTCAGTCACTGTCAAAGTACACTCCATTTGATGCAGTACACCTAATTGAGACGTTTTTTCCCACTGCTCCAGATTTTGAACCTGTTGATTTTGATGCCGTTCAGTGTGTCTGCCATTTTTTGTTTCACCTCTTCTACATCAGCAAAAAGTTTCCCTTGGAGGACTATTTTCATACAGGGAAACAAAAAAAAAGTCCCTCAAGGCGAGATCGGGTGAATAGGGAAGGTGGGACATGAGGGTCATGCTATTTTTGGTCCAAAACTGCTAAACGCTCAGTGCAGCATGGGCAGGTGCACTTGTAAATCACCCTTCATGAAATGGGCAAATGCACTGAGTCTTCCAAAAAAAATTTACTGAAGCTGCACGCAGCCTCTCACAACAACGCCAGCTGGTACACTGATGCAGATGGGTTCCTAGAACACTCAGGAAGCCAGGGAAGCCTGTGCTAAGAGGGGCCCACCCTCCAAAAGATAATTCCAGTTCTTTTTGGATCCCCCCTTCTAGGTATAGATTTAAAAATAACATTTATTTAATTTTGTTAGTTAATTTACTTTAAAATTAGATTAAAAATCCTCTATTTGACCTTTTCTTTGAATATCAGGTTTGGAATATAGAACCAAAATATAATTTAGCTAGGTAGGCACATAGTTGGACAAATGACATGAGCTTTCTTTTTATTTTGGGGGATGGAGAATTTATATTCTTTTTTATAAGGTAATATTTGATGCATACAAAAGGATATTGGAAAATATATCTAACTTAAGAAGCATAAAAATAAAATGGACACAATGTGACACCACTTGACTTAGGAGGTAGGAAGTTTAAGTACTATCAAGGCTCCCTGGGTGCTTTCCCCAGATCACATTCCTCACCCTCCCTCCCAGAAATAAGCACTCAATTTTTTACTCTCCCCTAACTTTTATTAGTCTTTTTTTTTTTTTTTTTTTTTTTTGCCTAAGACCAAAAAGTGGCTCTTGTTTGTTATTTTACCTTAACCTTGAGTGAATGAATGACTGTCCTCAAATTCAAATTAAGCATATTAAATCGCCTGCAAATGTACATAAGTGTCTAAGTATATAGTCTGGGTATACTTGATTTAAATGCACGTGTAACAAAACTCTGTCATATAATTTGGGCCCAGCAATACTGAACTGTGTATGTAAAAACTTTCACAATCAGCTCTTTAATCTACCAAACATGTGGAATCCGTATTGTACATACTCTCTATACTGCTTAGTCTTTTCAGCATTACTGTTGTGTTTTATTCCCCATATGTTAATCAAATGGAAAGAGGAAAACAAAATTATCGTTAATATAGCAATTGTGTGTTATGACCTCTGACTTTGCTAGTTAGAGGTAATCATATATTTATAAAAGCCAAATTAGTTCTCAAATTTTATATATTATTAAATTAAATTACCATTTTTGGTTTAATTTTTTATGTTTATAATTCAGAAAGGTCATAGGGTAATTATGCATTTAGATTATATCATTTACACAATATTTGAGATAACATGCTTCCACATTTTTTTGATAAAAATTGTGTGTTTACTTAATTGTCTCATGTGTACTTAGTATTCCGTAAGAGGTAATACTAAATATCTTTTTAAAGAACAAAAAATAACTTGCCATTTAGTGGTAAAGTCACCATAAGTCACCATTGTTATATGTAATGCGGCTCAGACCAAAGATCAGTGATCTCAGTGATGTATCTTAGATAAGACTTTGAAGAAAGATATTTCCTGGAATTTGTGGAATTTACTCAAATGCCATCAGGGCATTTTCTTCACCGTGTAAGCTTCATCCTCAGTTATCTAAATAACGCTTTCTGTCCTTGTACAAATGATACGCTCGGCAGTATCTTAGGATCTGACAGCGAAAGAGAGCTCATTCTTCTTTTCCAGTTTGAATTAAGAGAAAAGACAGATGGAGTCTGAGAAATTTGCCTAACAACTACATTAAATCTTGTAACTCATATGCTGTGTCTTATTCATTTAGATTAGTTAGAGGCAGAGCTTGGACTTAACAAAGATAATGCCAGACAGCCAGTTAGGAGTGGCCATTATTAGTAGGACGGGACTAAAGCTATATGCGCAGCCAATTAGTCCTGAGTCATGGAGAAGTAGTAGGTCCAGGAAAGATGTTTGATCATCAGCTGAAATATGGGTAGGATCAATATAATTAAGACCCTCAATTGAATTTTTTAAAATTCATACTGTGGAATGAATCTCGATGGTTTGGTGGGATGAAAGATGCAGGAATGCTCGGAAACTAAAGTGAAAGAGTCTTGTATTCTGAAATACTCTGGGGTTATTTGGCTTACTTTCTCACAGAGTCAGAGCTGTATCTGTCTCACAGTATGGAGCTTTTAAAACAAGTATCTTTTCCTTATGTACCAAGTTATGTCTTAAAAAATTCAGGATTCCTTAGTGTACAAGTTTATTCAAGCTATATGTGAACTGTTCCTATTCATTCATGTCTATTAGCAAACTAGGCTTTAATCAAAACTCTTTGTTACTGGGATTCTTTGTCTAAGGGTTTTTTAATACTCTTTCTTTAAGACATTCTTCACTAAAACTTTTCTTTGCTTTAATTGTATCAGTTAATTTTAAAAAATCCTCATTAGTTTCTTTTCAAATGTTACTATTTTTGTTAGGATGGACGGTTGAAGCCAGGAGATCAACTTGTCTCAATAAACAAGGAATCTATGATTGGCGTATCATATGAAGAAGCAAAAAGCATAATTACCAGAGCCAAGTTGAGGTAACTCTTCTATCTGTAGGATAAAATGAATCATATAGCATGTCTCCTTAAAATAATAATTTAAGATGTCTTAAGTACTTCAGACCCTAAAAAATATTTTTAAGTAATGTATGGAACATTATATAATTCAGTTGTGCTATGTCAATAATATATTCATAAAGTGATTTCTTTTTACTGCTAGGTCAGAATCTGCTTGGGAGATAGCGTTCATAAGACAGAAATCCGACGGCAGCCATCCGGACGAGCCATCCCATACATCCCTTTTACAAACTTCGGGAGAATGCGGACTGCAAGCCTCAACATGGAGTCTTCTTTCTTCTCCCCCAGAAATACTAATTCCAAAGACCTCATCCACTCCCAAAACAACAGATGCTATTTTACCTTCTTTTAAGGTAAATCAGGTAATCTTAAATTTCTATTTACTTACACAGTCATAGATCCCTTTTTTTTAATTTATTATTTACATAAAGAATTACAATTTTGGTAGTACAGCTTGCTAGCAAACTGGTATTTCCTTGAAAGATCTTTTATTTTTTTAAGATTTTTATGCTGTGCTGTCAATAAATATAATATCTTTCAAGTCAGTGTGTCTTTTGTCCAGGAAACCATGATCAGGAATGGCATCACAAAGATATGCCTAAAACCACTGCAAACTATGTGAGGAATGGCATTTTTATTTTCAGACAGTGTTTGATATGGTTCAGTTCATTATTATTTCTGTTTTCTGCTTGACTGAAGACAGGCAGTGTTCTTTTATGCTCCTTAGCTTCTTTTCTACAGAGGGAGGCTCATCTTAATCATCCAGTGTAGGTGGGTTTTGTTCCTTACATGTGTATGCTAGAATATAGTTCACTCTATATTCTAGCAAAATAAACACAATCAATAACTAGTTGCTCCAGTACTCTAATAAGTCAAAGTTATAAAATAGAGTATATACTCTAAATTTATGTTAGCTATAAAGTAAAATAGGAAATTCAAGTAGGCTTTCAGTCAATGAAATATAAATTATTTCATGTACACGCTAATCATATACAAAGTGGAAGATTTTCTGTCAGCTCTTTATACTTTTTCATTTGTAGTTATAATTAACCTTTTCAAAGACAAGGCATATGGCCTTATATTTTGTTGTCCTTGGACAGTAGAGCTGAAAGCAGTTGTTACCTTCAATTCTGAATTGCTTTGTTTGAGGATGAATATACCAAATTTTTAGAGGTTTTATATATTTTTTGACTATTGCTTTAATCACTTTAACTATTCTTTTTATGTTAACATGAGCGTCTAGTCTGGTCTTTGACCTACTTTAGAAAATGACATTTCATATTCCCTATTTTCTTTCATAGTTAAAAACTGGATACAAGAAAACAGAACAGACTCCAATTACTTCTTTGGGCCACAGCTCTACGGATATGCCTAATACAGGTAAATGCACATTTAATTCCTCTTTCCTGTTATTTTTTTTCAATTACTCTCTCTCAATAAGGAGTACATAATGTGACTCAATAGACTTTAAAGAAGGATGCATTAAGTCTTTTTTCCTTCAATGAATAAAGGAACAAAATGAATGCATTGTACAGTGGTCCCTGTTAGATTATGACTTTTATTGGAAATTTTCCTGAACAAAAGGTTTAAATTTTCAGAGATGCATTATCATAACAGGATCTGTGAGGCTGTAATAATCAACGAACTGTTAAAGCCAAGTAATGAAAACGCTTTTGTAAATCAAGATTAGGTTGCCTTGGCCTTTAAGTGAAATACTGGTTAGGTGTATTAAATGTGCCTTTCAGAGAAATTATAGAAGGGGGCATAGCTTAAGAAAAGAAATATTTTGGGGGGTTTTGGGAAGAGATTATATAGATATAAATTAAAAAGAACAGTATTGTGAATTCAATATTATTGGTTTTTAACTACCATGAAATGATTTACTGACTGTATAAAATAATAAAAGAAGATTGTGTAAACTACCCATAAGAAAAGGATTTTTATCAAGCTGCTCAAATATGAAGAAAAATTCTCCCACTGAAGTTATCTCCAAAAGCTAAACACAACAGTCAAAAAACTATACAGGGTGAGATAAAAGTAGGTTTACAGTTGTTTGTATGGAAAATAATATAATAATAATAATAAAAGAATAAACACTGTTTTCCATACTCACAACTGTAAACCTAATTTTTACTTAGTGGGATTTGTTGACTTCAAATTTTATTAGTTTATTCCCTTTATATAATTAATTTTCATTCTCTGGATATATTGTTTTTATATTAAATTATGACCCCATATGAGTGAGAAAAAAAGATAAATAAAAGAAGCAGACAATCATGTGGAGACATTTATGTAACATGTTTTTAACTTTGAAAATAATTGAACGACTCAATGCTTCTTTTCACCTTTTATTTATTCAGTAAGCATGCACTATGTCACGTGTAGAAAACATAGTACCTAAGAATTATGAAAGAATTAGGATATTTTCCTTGAGATATTTAATAGTATATTGTAGAACAAAACATGGAGTTAAAACCCTCATTATTCAGATTAGAGAAAGAAATGTATATGTGAGTTTATGTGTATATGTGTATTTATTTTATCGAATAACTACTATTTGAAGTATTCTCTGTCAGCTAGAACAGGGTGTGGGTGGTTTTAGCCCTCTAAGGAGTATACTACACTCTCTCATGGATGAATTACACATCTGAACAAATAATGTAAAGACATGAACAAAGCGGACTAAGGAAGGAAAGTAATTAGCGGCGTTAGTGATGCGGGAAAGGCGCCGTGGTTACTCACTAGGCACTGACTGCAGGCATGTTCCTAGACCTTGAATGCCAGGTTCTTGAATCTCAATGTGCCGGAAGAGAGCACTGATCTCATTACAAGAGCAAGCAGATAGAGTTTATTAAGAAGAGCTTGTGCACAAGGGAGCTGACCAGAAAAGGGACGTTGAGCTCCCCAAGGCATTCCTGTGGATGCCTTATATAGGGCCCTTGTGGTGGCCGTAGGGCTTGGGAATGAAGATGAGGTCAGCTGTCACGTGATTATCATCTAGTGGCGGTTGATCCAGGGTCGTCACAAGATGTTTTCTACGGTCAGTGAACCACAGAAAGGGCCTGTAAAGTAATGCTTGCACAACTATTTTAGTCACCATTTCATTGATAAACTAATTTGCAGAACGTGATGTTAAGAAAGGGTGTTACTCTCATACATTCTTTACTTTAAGGATGAATTTAGGTTAATTTCAGCTACAGAATATTAATATTATGGAAAGCAAGGAGTCACAGGCCTCTCAGATGGAGTACTTTTAGTCAAGATGGAGTCCATTGTTACCCCATCCTGTCTCACGTAGAGGTTCAAATCTTTGCTCCCAACTTACTAGCTGTGTAACCTTGAAGTAGTTGCCTCACGGGATTGTTATGAGTATTAAACAAGATCATACATGTCAATCACTTAGCATTGTAATTGGTACATAGTATAAGCTCAGCAAATTTTGCTGTTATTATTAATATTACAGAATCTGCAGACTGGAATGTAGCTTAGATAGTATTTCTAGGGCCTGTTTATAGAGCAGGAGTAGAAGTTTTTATCCTTTATTTCAATTTTGCATATTCCATTCTAGCCCTAAACCTAGGGAATTTGTCACAATAGACAGAATTTCTGGCAAAAGTCACATGAAATTCAGGTTTTGGGGGGGGGTGGTAAACCTGAGTTGACATATGAAGGTAGGGAATCATCCTAAGTGAAGGAAGCACCATTAGCAAAAGCAAGGAACTAAGGATGAGCTAGAAGTTGGGTGTACCTAGGAGGCAGGTCTGAGTAAAGCAAAGGGATCCTCAAGTAATCAAAAAATGGAAGTAAATTTATATCAGTGACTATAAGAAACAATGCTAGATTTTATAATAGAATAATAATTTAATGAAAAATATGTTTGATTAAACTGTATATAAAGTATTAAAATGCCATTAAAATGGAACAGTTTTCTGGGGTGAAATAACATTGATTTAGTCCCATTTTCTTACCACATAGATATAGTAGGTCACATGTTTCTGGGGGAAAAAAGCAAAGTCAACCCTAAATTATCTAGAGGTAGCTGATATACATTGTGATGTGTCTGTAATCAGTACTTAATTATTTTTCACAAATTAGATCCATGACACCTTGCTTCCTTCAGTCAGTTGGTATTTATTCAAAAAATATAAATGAGTTTTAATGTTAACCACAACAAAAATAAACTTAACAAGGCAAGTCTACCTCTGTTCCCTTCTCAAAATTACTCCAAAGTGTAAAACTGGTTAGGATTTTTTAAAATCCCCATAATACTTGAATGTGTTTTTAAAACTATTAAATAAACTTCTTATTTCTTCGGGAGGGACGCACATGGATCGGTGAGGGAGGAAGGGGACACCCGCCTAGCCAGCCAGATCAGCCGAATCAACCCTGGCGATCGATGGGGTGACAGATGTCACAGCCAGATCGCCCTCACATCCTAAACTTCTTATTTCTGAATCAAGAGTCGTTTACTGTTGCCATCAGCTGAATAACACAAGAGCTTGTGAGTTAAAAATATACTAAAGACATTACTAAAGAAATTACTAAAGAATCATTGTGTAAAGAGATACTATCAACCCTCTATGTTACTTGCAGCATTATTTACAGTAGCCAAGATTTGGAAGCAGCCCAAGTGCCCATCATTAGATGAGTGGATAAAAAAGCTGTGGTGCATTTACACAATGGAATACTACTCAGCCATAAAAAAAGAGGGAAATCTTACTTTTTGCAACAGCGTAGATGTTGCAAACTTCTTGGAAGAACCTGGAGAGTATTACGCTAAGTGAATAAGCCAGTCAGACAACGACAAACACCATATGATTTCACTTACATGTGGAATCTAATGAACAAAATACACTAACAAAATAGAAACAGACTAAGAAAAAAAAAAAAATCCCTCACAGACAGCAGTATGGAGATTACCAGAGGGAAAGGCCGGTGGGAGAGGTCGGAGAGGGTACAGGGGAGATAACCGGTGATAGAAGGAGATTTGACTTCCAGTGGCAAACACACAATACAATATACAGATGATGTGTTACAGAGCTGTATCCCTGGAACCTGTACAATTTTATTAACCAATGTCCTCCTAATAAATTCGATTAAAAATGAATAAACAAATAAATAGCAAGTGACAAGAAAAAAGAAGAAATACTATCATTAACTTTAACTTTAGCGTAACACAAGCCTTCATTCTCCCTCTCTAAGGCTTTTGTAATTGAAACAGGCAGTGGCAGGGAAAAATACCCTGGGAGGAATCATAGTATTAACCAAATGGTATTGACCCTACCCTTACAAAACATTTCCTTTCTTCTGCTCCCGAAAAGAGAAATAGGAAGAGAAGCTCTAAGAGAATAATAAGCCATACTTTGAAAAGTCTCATCCCTCAGAGAAAAGGAAATAAATAAAGAGTTAGAGGCCGACCCTGAGAGATGCCACAGGCAGTGAGGAAAGCTGTCTGTGAGGGGCTCCTCAGGTCAGGCTGCTCCAATAACCAAAGCTCGCTGGATTTCTGCACGGCCCTCCGCAGGTTTTGCCTCAAAAGGAAAGGTTTAGGGGAAGGTTGGCAAAAAGAAAGTGTGATTTTTGTTAAGCCGCGATGCATATTATTAAGCAGAGGTTAGTATAATTTTGCATTTAATCTCCTATTTAAATACAGTCTCTGTGTCAATACTCATAGCAGTTTTCTATGATTTTGATTTTACCTTTAGAATTTTTGTAAGTTGGTCTGCTTTGTTGCTCCTACTTTACAGAAGAGAAAACTGACAGTGAAGGATATTGACACATTTAAGAACAGTGGTTTGTGGGGGGTCACAAGAAAATAGAACCCTAACATGGTCACCTACTAGCCAGGTGATCTTGAGTATGTTTCTTTACCCTTTTGGGCCTTAGTTGATCTCTTCTTGAGGATAGGAATGATAACACCTATGTCATTATGGTTATTTTAAGGGTTAATAAGTACTCACTTACTGAGTACTTGATTTAAAGCACTTAGTGCACTGCCTGGTTAAAAGTAGACATAACTAGAAGAGCTAATCTCATGTTATTTCTGCTGTTGCATGGCAAACTTTTAAGCTTAGCTACAGGAGAGCGTGAGCGAGACCGCATGCCTACGTGTGTGCGGATGGTGTGTGTCCCTGTGCCCCCCTCTCGCTCCTGATCTCTCTCGCTCTCAACTCCTCACCAAGTGTGTACTTGAACTTGAACTGAGTTTTCACGCCCAGAGTTTGTCTTGGTTGGAGACCACAGTTAGCTTTGTTCGGGCCTCCCTGGTGATAGTGTGCCTTCCCTGTAGATAGGTCGGCACGTTGTCAAGCCTCACAAGTCCAAACCTTAAAAATGAAAAATGACTTTTGAGTTATCTGCTCCTTGGTCTTTTATTCCGCACCACTCCATGCCCCTCTTTGTGCCACACTTTAGGTTTGGCAGAGAATTTCTCTTAATGTTACCAAACCTAACTGAACTGCATCGAACAAGGTTCTGCCCACCCGATGCACAGTGAAGCCAAACACTGAACATCAGGGTTTGCAATGGAGAAGTGGAAGCCATTTTATTGGCAGGGCCCCAAGCAAGGAGCACGGAAAGCTGCTTCTGCAGTTACATTAAGAGGAAAAAAATGCATATGGTATTTTTTATCCCATGGTCAACAATGAGGTATCACATTAACAAAGAGAACTTTGTTGCTTTTATCAGAATTGTAAAAAATATTTTATACCAAAATCAGTCTTTCTCAATGTTTGATTTCATTTGAATCTAAAAGTCAGTAGCCATTTTTTATGATCTTGACACATATAAGCCATATTCAAGATTTTACATAGAATGTTAACGATGTGTTAAAGGTTTAGAGGAAGACTATTTATTTTCATATGCGCTTCTTATGTTCTTAAGAGAATGCAAATCATTTTGTACTTAGAGACAGATGCTCTGAGAAATTTAAAAAAATTAAAACACTGCATAAAGATGTGACATTTTAAAAAGTTTTTTCTCTTCCTCTTGTTTCTATGTAGAACTAGTAAAATATCATTTAAAAGTGTATTTAGAATAGTGACAATTTAGCTATAAGGATTGACGTGAGTTACAGGAATTTGTTTTACAAACTTTGGCATTTTAAAACAAATAATTTTTTTCAAGGTCTAGTCCCGGATGGTACCTGGTGTCTTATTCATGCAACAGGGACAAAGGCTTATCTAACTAATCAGGGTAGATTGGGAAGGTGCTCTTGAAAGTCCATTTATACTACTTGAAATATAACCCTTCTGTAAAATAAGAAATAGGGTTTTTTTAGTTCAAGAAATTGCAAGTCTATTACAGTTTATGTGTAAACTTGAAACAATTTGCATTTTAAAGTTTTTCTGTAGTACTTCCAGAGCTCATATGACAAAACCACTTTTGCCAGCCAAAGAAATATCATGATTTTTTTGAATTTCTTGTATGATTTTACTTATTTTTTTTAAAAAGACTTTTCATTTTACAATTAGTAAGGCATTGTAATGACAGAATAATGATGGTAAGATGTATGTTTGTCTTTTAAATTAATATTTCTGTGGGATTTAATACACAATTGGCCACTCTTTTTATATCATATCCTTTAGGGCTCAAGTGAAGCTGGTTCATATGATACATTTTATATTTAACAAAAAAACCATGAAAACAAAAGTGAAAACTGCCAGCTGATTAACCAGAATTATTTCGGAACAGCAGGAGCTCAGAACACATCCTGTCAAATGAAAATTTCTATTCCAATTAAATTTCCAATGAATGTGCACCCTGTTGTCTCCTAGATGCTGCTCCTGCCTGGACTGATAATTATGGACCACAAGGAAAGAAGATTTCCCTCAATCCCTCCATTCGCCTTAAGGCAGAGAAACTGGAAATGGTAAATACTTTAAATTTCCATTCTTCTTCCATAAAATAGCAGCAGGGAAGGAATCTTGTTCTTGGAGAGGATAAAAGACTGGAGCCCTTAGTATCCTGAGAAGTTATATATTTGCAGTTAAACTAATGGCAGTTTAGATTTAAATTAATTTATTCATGTTTGAGTTGGGCAGTTCATGTTGTTCACTAGTAATAAAACCTTTTGTCACTGAATTGCCATGTAAAGGAATCTGTCTCCTCCTGTGTATAAATAAGACAAATGTGATATTTTACAACATAGAATCAAAGAGAACATGGAATAAATTATGACAAAGTGTAGTAGACTTCATATGTAATAGCAGTAAGTGCAAGTAATACTCCATTTGTTCAATTTGTCAAAAAGTTAAGGGAAACTATATCCTAAAGAATAAGGTAGTCATATGCTCACTGTTGAGAAGACAGTAGCAGTGTACTAAGACACAACATTATTGTCCTGGGGAGAGTAAAACATTGAGACCTTCTGTATGTAAAAGAAACTTCCGATGATTAAAAAGAAAAAGAAAAGGTAGGAAAGCATTTTAAAACTTATTCTCATCAGGTTATTTGGGAGCTGTCAGCAAGAAAGTGCCATATCTTTTACTTTTTAATATAAAAACGGATATAATGTTCAAGGTCCACAGCTACTTTCCTGTCATGTTTTGTGGAAAATAATATTTTACATTTTAGGAAGAGTATGAAAATGCATAGCTGGAATAAATACACATTGGGTTTATTTCCATATTCATATCTTTGCATGGTCCTCTAACAGAGACCTTTTCATTGCCAATTTTAATCTTACCCATTATTTAAATTGTGACTCAATTCCAACTCCCTCATCCAGACTTTGCTAACTATTATTAGTTAGGGCCCATATTACCTTATTCTGCACATCTGTAAATTATTTTGTAGTTCCCTATAGTCTTTTCTGTATCTTGTTCTATCAATGAGATAAAATTTCTTCACAAATGTGCATGGTACCTACCACTTTTTAAACACCTAGCTTTTGCTCAGTGAAATTTTGTGATCAATTAGATACTTGAAATGACTTTTTGATATTTTCAAAATACTGAGCATCTTTTGCTAATTTGTACTCTTTTTTTTTTTAATTTTTCCTTAAAATGTAAGTTCTGGCTAATGGCAAAAAAGTATACAATCAGTTAATATTAACATTTTCCAAAAATGAAATGTTTGAGGTTTAAAAATATATCAATGTCTAAAAATGAATAATTATTGTTTTTTAATGATGGTGGTTTAATATACATTTCTGGATATTCAAGATTTAATGCTAATCATTCATTTGGATAAGTAGAAAATTATCCAGCTAAGGACTACCTGGCAGCCTTTATTTTTTTACTTCGTTTAAATTTTCTTGTGTATGATATATATTTTTTGAAAATATTATTCAAAATATTTTTAGTGACTGTAGTAGAGTATTCCTTGTTTTCAGAGTTTGAAACTCTATTTCACTTAATAATTTTTTTCTAAAATCTAAATTAGCATCTATCCACCCAAATATTTCCCAAGCTATGCTTCCGTTTTTGGATAGTCAATTACTACTATAATAGTATCTGTATCACTTTAATTTGAAATAGGTCCTTCTATTATAGTTGCTAGTTTGTAGACAAATTCAACTTTATCATCCATTACATTTTAAATACATTTCCTATGCAGTAGTAAGGACACTGTGATCAAATATTTTAAATGTAATAAAATTATATCTCCATTTCTTTATCTTCTGTGAATATATTGCATATAGTGTCTAGGAAATTGGTGCTGTAATGAGATTTCACAAGGAAAAAGTGTTAACTCATTATGTGGTTATTAATTAATCACCCTACTCAGTACAGTGTTTAAGAAAGGCAGCAGGGTTAGAATTCGATGAAGGAAAGTTCCTGTTGCAGTGTGTGTACGAGTGGCATTGTCTTCGTGAAATCCATTTTGTTTTTCCCAAGTAGCCAATTTTATGTCAGAATCTCCTGGAAAGTGATTTCTAACACGGAACTAGTTTTGTTTTGTTTTTTTTAATTTATTGTCTGAAAAAATGATTGCCTCTTTCCATAACTACTCTGAGAATTATTTTTTATATACAGGTATTTTTAAATAATTTCATAGTTATTTGGTGATAGATTTTTCAAAGTATTTTTGTAAGTACTATGTATCTCATTTGATCCTAACGTTAAACTTTTTTTTCTCTTTATTTATTTATTTATTTTTAAATACATTTGTCTCTGCCTCCCCCCCACCACTTTCCCTTGCTCCCTCCCTCATTCCCTCCCTCAGCTCTAACGTTAAACTTTTAAGTAGGTGTGGTAAACGTAGCAACTAGAGATACAGTTTATTAGTTGTCTTGAAGACACTTCTATACTATCAATATCTGTATCTTTGTACCTGGGAAAGGTGCTTTGGGATACAGATGCCATTTTGCTGGTATTTACTTTACCTTTTGCCATTTCTGTAACATTTAAAGAAAGGTGTAGTGAGCAATGCATGCCCAATATCTGATTATAGTTAATGAGTTGTTCTTTGTTACTAGGTTGGGAAGTATGGGACTAATAATGTACAGCACTGACATTTCTTAAATTCACCATAGACACACCAGAAAATGTTAAAGACAGTTATTGTCCAATTAATACATTTACATTTTTAAGGCTAAAAGATGACATTATTCAATAAATTATTAGAACCTACTTTTTGATCAAAAATAACTTTCAGTTTAAATTTATGAGCTTGTCTCACTGACTTGCTGTATTCCTCTTGAATATTTTACATTCAACAAAACTTTCACCTATAGTGAAGGTTAGCTCTAGATCAATTTACATTGTAGTTAATTGCATTTTGCAACTTTATTATTACTTAATATAATAAGAATCACCATATTTTGAGTACCTCCTGTAATTGGTGTTTTACTTGCATTATTTTTATAAAATTGTTTTTGTATCTTTACATGAAAATATCAATTATACACAGAAATGGTTATATTATACATGTACAGTTTAAAGACTAATAAACGTATATACCCATCACCCAGCTAAGAACAAGAACTTTTGAAATTGCCTGTGTTTCTTCTTGATCATATATATTCCTTCCCTCTCCCCAAGAGGTAACTATATTCTAAATTTTTAGTTTACCACTTACATGCTTTTAAAAAATTAACTAACAAAATATTATGAAGTCAGAGAGTTTACCTCCAACTTTACTATAGGTGTTGCCAAATTTTTACTTCTGTTTCTCCAGCTCCTAGAAAAATGGTTGGCTCATAGTCTGTGATCAGAAAATAATTGTTGGATTGGTAAATTGTTTTCTAAAATATTTTTATCAATTTTCATTCCCACTAGTGTTATGGAAGAGTTCTCATTGTTCCACATATTTTACATTTAGTCTAATTATAATGCATTTTGATTTATTTTTATCAGATTTTAAAAATTTTCTTTGTTTTTTATTACTTTTCCCCCTCTCTGTTATATTGTTTGGTTTATGTTTAGTTATTTGGTTACTTTGCATTTTATTTTTCTTTCCAACTTGTTTAGAAATTATACCTTCTCTTGCTATTCTTTTAGTGATTAACAGATATTTTTAACATATGTGTTTAATCAGTATAAAGTTACTCAGAATCTTTACCTTTCTTTCAGACATACAAGACACAACACTTGAACTCTGATAAGCTCTTTCCCAACCTACCTGCTTATTGTTGCCCAGTATTTTAACTTTAGTGAGACATTGTTGCTCTAGTTCTCTTTCTTCGTAGCCGTCTCCTATTCCACATATCTACTGAGTTTCTAATTTGTTTTTATCTACCTAGTACTTTTATAATAATATCTTGTTCTTTTTATTTTTTATTCACTTTTGATAACTTAAAAAAAGGATAACCAAAATGCAGCACGCGCGCGCGTGCGTGTGTGTGTAATATATATATATAGATATATATATATATATATATATATATATATATAATGAATTATTGGGCCATAAAATGAATGCAGTTCTGATACATGCTACAACATAGAAACATTAAACTAAGTGAAAGAAAGAAGCTAGACACACACACACACACACACACACACACACACAAATACAAACTGTATGATTCTATTTGTATGAAGTGCCCAGAATAAGCAAATCTATACATACAGCAAATAGATTATTGGTAGCCTGGGGCTGGAGGAGTAGAGAAATAGGCAGTGCCTGCTAATGGGTATGGGGTTTTTTGGGGGGACATGAGGAAAATTTTCTAGAGTTAGTGGTGATTGATGCTCAACTTTGTGAATATACTAAAAGTCACTTAACTGTACACAAAAGAGGTTGAATGTTATGAGATGTGAATTATATATCAATAAATCTGCTATTAATAAAACGAAGTCATATATTGATATGTGCAGTATGGTACATTTATACAAAAATCAAAACTTAAAATATTTTAAAATCTCTTCATATTATATATTTATAAAAATATGAAGCAATGGTGTAAAAACGTGCCTGGGAATTGTCCATAAGAAACTCCATGCCCCTGGCCAGGTAGGTCAGTTGGTTAGAGCATCATCCCAATATGCCAAAGTTGGGGCTTCAATCCCAGGACAGGGCACATAAAACAATCAACTGATGAATGCATAAATAAGTGGAGCAACAAATTGATACTTCTCTCTCTCTTTTCCCACCCCTTTCCTCCTTCTCTCTAAAAAATCAATGAATTTAAAAAGAAACTGTAAGAAGGGAATATGAAAAAGTGAAAAGTTATGCCCAAAACTGGGAGGAACATTTGTAATACACATAACATATAAAAATGCTAAATATATAAAGAACTCTATAAATCAATCAGAAAAAGATCCACCAAAACTACCCCTAGGTCTATACCCTAAAGGAATTGTTACCCATGTGTTGTAGTAGAAACGCACAAGAAGGTTCATTGCTGCAGCGCTGGTAAGCAGAAAGTCCAATGTCCATCTGCAAGAGGAGGGATGAATACATTGTAGCATATTAATCTAATTAAATATTTGCCAGTAAAGTGAATCCATTGCTGTTACAATAGCATATAACCACAAGGATGAATGATAAAACCAAAACACGAGATTAAAAAAACAAGTTTCAAAAGATGGTCTGCAGCGTTTTTTGAAGCTTATAAACAGCAAAACAAAATAATAGGTTAGGGATATATGATTGTATGTGACAAACCATTTTAAAATAAATAGTATCAAAATTTTAGTATTAGCAGTTTTGTGATTTTTAAATGGATTCATGGATGGTTTATTGTCCTGCTTTAAAATATATGTGCTTGTTACATACAGTCCATGTTTTTAGTATACATCAAATATTATGATAAAATGTTCAGGAATATTAAATCAAATGTATACCAGTTGTTACCTCTGGAGAAAAGTTCAGAAGGGCCTTTTACAATGTTTTGTTAAATTCAAAATCTGATATACATATACTTAAATGCTAAGCTTTAATATACTATTATAACTATTTTAAAAAACATGCAAAGATCTAAAATCTACAGAGTAGAAGGCTGTGATATATTGATAGCTTTTAAAAACATAGAACACTCCATGTAGTAAAATTTAATTTTTGTAAAAAATACATAACTTATATATATTTTTATATATAGGTGCTTTACTCATAGAAAATAAGAACAATTATACACCAGGCTGTTACTGGTGTGTGTTCCTGGAGCAGCAGTTCCCAAGGACAGGAATGTGGAGTTTCGCCTCAGGGGACATTTGGCAATGACTGGAGATATTTTTGGTTTTCACAATTGGGAGAATGCCACCAAATTAGGAATCATTAACAAAAATTGTGTCTTAAAACTGTGTGTGAAAATTTAAAATATATTGCTAAGTAATTTGTGAGTCAAAGGTATTGCTAATCAAAAAAGAAGTTTAGTCTCACTTTAATTAGGGGAATTCAAATTAACACACAATGTGCTATACCATAAACAACACATTGACAAAAATTAAAGTGCAAAATCACAAAATGCTGTTAAGACTGTAGAAAAATAGGAGTGCTTATGTACTAGTGGTGTGTGTAAATTGCTTAGTACAGCCAATCTGGAGAGTTATTTTACAATATCTAATAAAGGTGACTGTTAACCCTATGACTCCACATTTCCTCTTCCAGGGATATACTGTAGAGAAATTCCCACACATCTATACAAGGAAACATATATAATGTCTTGATGAAAACCAAACTGGAGTAATCATAAAAGCCCATCAATCAAGGAATGGATAATAAATTATAATATATTCATACAGTTGGATACCATTTGAAGTTAAAATAATTGAACTAGTTTTACAAACAATATTGGGCAATTGTGAAATGAAAACATTGAGATAAAAGTAGAAATGATTTGTAAGATTATCCTTCTGTACTGTTCATGTAAAATTTTAATTGCATGAGAGTGCATGTCATCAGGGGACGTATGTAGCGATGACATCGAATCATGGACAGGAAGGAAACACTGCCCTGAGGATAGTGGTTCTGGCTGGGGAACAATGGAGAAAGCTTTCAACTAAGTCATTAATGTTCATTTCTTTAAAATATATAAATTTCAAGCAAATGCAAGTATTTGATGATAGTGAGTACATGGGTGTTCTTCGTATTATTCTCTTTTATTTTTAGATTTTGGAAAATTTGGAACATTTTTATGACTGAAGGCAAAGAAAGCCAAAAGAATCATTATTCCTTGTTATTGAGGGCAAATATTGTATTTATGACTCTGCCAACAGAGTAGGCAAATAATACTAGATGAAGCTCTAGAATCACTTTTGAAGGAATCTTCCCCAATATCCTCCCTTCCTCCTGTGTCTTCCCCTCACTGTGCCCAGCCACCTGTACATTAACCAGCTCATTTTGGTCACAGTATATCCTGCGCACACTTCCATTAAATCACATATTGCATTAATTGCATTTATTTACATATAATCCTCGATCTAAAGACCATAGTATTAACTGTATCTTGTTTGGTTGTCCCTTTGCCTACACTACACTACAATAGTAAGCACTAAATAAATATTTGATACATGAAATGATGAGTAACTGAACAGATTCCAAAAGAGGAAGAAATTTATAAAGGGCACTTGCCAATATTAAACTTTGCCTATGTTTTAGTTTTGATATGATTGATATAGAGTCTGTTCTTGTGCAGTTCAGTAATACAGGGCATCCAATCTGTCCTCCTGCATTAGCTAGGATTAGGTTTTGCTATACATAACTGGAGAACCTAACATAACAGTGGTCTCCATTAGAAATTGATTTCCCTCACATCAGAAAGAAACCCGAAAGGAGGTGATCGGGGCTGGCGTGGGGGCCCTGCGGTGGTGGAGCCCTGTGTTCCCACCACCTTTCTGCTCCACTGTCTTTATTTAGGCCGACCGTGTACCAGGGTGACCACTTGAATTCCAGCCTCCCTCCCTCTCTCTTTCCCTCCCTCTCTTCCTCTCATTCATCTTCCTTTTTGTTTTCTTTTCATTAAGCCCAAAGAGAGGTGGAAAAGGGACAGGACATGCCTACTGCTACTTTTGAAAGACGTCCCAGAAGTTCCTCACAGCACTTTGCCTTCCATCCCCTTGGCCAACACAGAGTCACGTGTCCTCACCAAGCTGCAGAAGGGGCAGGGGGTTATCTTTTAGTTGGATGACAGTGTTTCTAGCTAAGTCTGTTACTGAAGAACAAGGGGACAATGGATTCTAGAATGCATCTAGCAGTCTCTGAATTTTTAATCTGCAGTGGTTGCTGACAGGAGAAGGTAGAGAGAAGCCTCCAGGGAAAGCATTTTAGTTTCCTATTTATGTAAGCCTGTTCACACACAAGCCAAAAATTAGAATACTTTGTATTTAATTCCGTTTCTGTCAACTTTATTTTTCATCTCAAGTACAAGATATTAGCAAAATATGCATGCTTTGGAGTGCTGCTTATAGAAATTAATGTTAAATTGGATTTAATAGCATTTTCTTTGCTCTTTTTCTCCTGCCATTTCACATATTTTAAACCAGGAAATAATTTGAGTTTTGGTTCTAGGGCTATGCTTACAAATTTAGGATCTGCTAAAGTGCAAGCCTTGAAAAAAAAAACCAAAACCTGAGATGGTGGTAGAATGAGGAAGCTAATATTTTACAGAAAATTAATCCATAAACAGTCAGCAGATTTTCTTTGGGCATCTAATTCTGATCCCTATTCCTGATATTGGTTCTTTTCACTGGGGTTGTAAAAGGAAGTTCTAATGAAAAGTTTATTCTTTGGAGATTTGAAAAATTGCTTTACATGAGTCCTTTTCCTTCCAGGCTCTAAATTATCTTGGTATTCAGCCCACAAAGGAACAACACCAAGCCCTGAGACAGCAGGTGCAAGCAGACCCAGTGGGGACAGTGTCTTTCGGAGGTAATGTCAGGTCCATTGTGTTATAACATCACAGAAACTTGTTTGAAGAGTTATTATGACTCATTTTCATTAAAAGTTCCTCTTCCTAGAAGGAGTGAGGAAAAAAATAAGACCACATCTATTTCTAATTCCTCAATTACTACTCTAAAAATTCAGCTAGAATTACTGGTCAGCAGAAAGGAGAACTTTCTCAGAACCTTTTGGCTCTAAAATATTGTAATTCTATCATATTGTTTTTTTGTTTATTGCAGAAACATTGCTGTAGTAATAACAAAACAGTACAAGATACATGCTAATTTCACTACAGTGAAATTTTAATTTTTTTTAGCTAATGTGATACGGTAAATATTTTTATGATGCTGTATAATTATTCTTATTAAAGGTGGCATAATGTTGACATACTGTAATATTAAGCCTTTTCACTATTGGGAATTTTGATGGTTTCTCAGTAGCTGATATTATAAATAATTCTATATATAACATCATAGCATTTGTTTTTCTTTTTCTTAGGATGAATGCCCAAAAGTGGTTTGGACTTTTGATACATATTGATAAGTTGTTTTCCAGAGATGTTTTTTCACACATTATTTGTTCTACCACTAGTAATACTGGAATATAACAATTCTTTTTATCTTTGACAGCATTACCTGTTTAATTTTTTCTTCTGCCATAGATGCAACATTGTATCATTTTAAAAAGCTCTATTACTAAAAAAGGAAATTCACTTCTTGGTTTTGAAGTGATGGAAAAAAGATATATTTGCTCCCCTCTCCTCTTAAAATTCACCTGAAAATAATGAGAACCAAGAAAGAGAATTGCATATATACTAAAAACATATAAGGACAGAAAATAAATGAATTAGCGAGCAGAGGCAGGTAAAGTCTGAAGAGATAAGGGAATCACAATGGGGAACAGCTGATTTGTCCCTGAAAAGGCCTGAGAGCATCAGGTACCTCCGAAGGCTGGGTGCAGGCAGGACTCCAGACACCGAAAGTTGGAAGTTTGTGTAGGGAGCGATTGTATGTGCTGCTCTGTGCCCCCTGACAAGCAGTACGGCAACCACCTCTCCTTTATGCCTGCAGAAGAAAGTAAGTATATTCTCTTGAGAAGTTAAGCCAGAGAGGTGTGGACATAGAGTTGCAGCCTTGGGATTTGGGGCAAGTGTTTAGTGACTTACTACTCACAGTACACACCCCGAGTGTTCAGGGACATGGGCAGCCGTGTTTACACTCCAGGCAAGAGGTCGTTGGAGTCTCAGAAGCAGCTGAACAAAAACATCAGCTTGGCCACCTGATTGCTTTGTATTGGAGCTGCCAGTTGATGAGGGGAGTTACCCACACAAAATTTTCAATCAGCATCTTAGTGCCTAATTCTTCTTAACTACGAACTCACAGCCAAGAATCAATAGACATTTGGAGACCTCCTCCAACATAAAATATAAAGCCCCTAACTATTGGGCAAATAAAAGAGGAGGAACTCAGAAAAAAGGGAAATATTGTGAGAGCAGGAGAGAGCTTTATGATAAACCATAATTAACATCTTTAATAAGAGAAGCAAAGATAAGGCATCCATGAAATAAGGGTAGGATACTGTAAGATCAGAACAATACGAGATCGTTAAATGAATCCTTGGAAATTGAAAATACTGCAGTCAAAACAAAAGCATTTGAGGGTAGATAGGTGTATAGGTTACACTCCATATCTGAAGAAGCTTACCCTTCACTCTGACTGCATGAGGCAGTGTTATATAACAATCAAGAGTATATGTCTCTGAGTCAGACCTTAAGTGGAATCCTGTTCTGCTACTTATTGCCAAGTGGCTTTGGGTGATTTTAGACAGTTAATGTGTCTTAGCCTCAAATTGTAAAATGGAGAGGGTAAGAGGACCTGCTCATAAATTCTGAGGATGAAATTGCAAAGCCTCATGCCCACCATATAGAGGCTTTCCAGAAACATTAGCTGCTACTATTATTTTTATTAAATCTTGGGTTCTTCCAGCTGGAAAAACTGTAAATCATAATATTTTCATATGTTTCAGGAAAAGTTCTACTCATAATTTAAGAGTTGGAGAAATACTTATGCCTGTGATATGTATTTGCTTTATTATTATCTTAGTTGATTTATTAACTTCAGCAAAGTCAAATGAAGTTAAAACCAGTTTATCTCTTTCTTTTTTACTTGAACTTATATTTATCACCAGTTAATGCTGTCTAAAGGCAACTTATTTAAGTAAGTTAAATTTTAAACATTAGTTATATAGCTTCAACTTAATATAGAAAAAGATAAGACTTATTTAGATGAAGTTAAATGTGTTCTTACCAAAATGTGTTCCATTTTAGATTTTGTCCAGGTTGCCAGAAAGTTGTTTTGCCTGCAGTTGGATGAAGTCAGTGTTGGTACACCTGACATTTCCAAAGTATTAGACTCACAGGTACAGTATGTCCCAAGGAATTGTCTCGATTGTACTTAAATCACAAGTCTTGACTGTTACCTGACATGTGTGAGGGCTTTTTTCATTTTTCACTGTTTTCTGCAGCTGTCTTCCAAAGTGGCTGTATAGCGTTGCATTCCCACCAGCAGTGAATGAGAGTTCCCAAAGGCCTGGGTGTTTGGAAACTCTCAGGCCACCCAGACCTAGAATTGAGCCACTGATTGATCAGAACTGATTCTTTAGCATTTGGAGTCAGAAAACTGAAGGTGTAAGAGCACGGTTTTTCTTCCACTGATTTAGATGTCAGATGTTTATCTACTTAATACTGACAGCAGAGTATTGTTTTCTTATCGCTAAATAGTTCTCAGAGCTCCCGTACCCACATTTGCTGAGGAAAGGCCAAGACGGTTGCGTGGCTTAGAACCTAAGTGAAGTGGGGAATTCAGAGTACCTTGTGTGAGCATGCAAAGCTTTCTTAGTAGAGGCAAAGAAATACTCATGCTCCAAATTAGTAATTTATGTCCTTACCGATATGATTTTAGGACAGATAAGAACGTATTCAGCCTGTGATACTTCGGCAGCAAAAGCAAAGTGCTTGTGCAAGGTCTTTTGCATGCCAATAACGTGCTGTTTGTAGCACAGATCAAAATGTTGGATGTGGTATTAATTTATAAGATTCCCTTTGTTGTACTGTGCTTCTCAGCACACAGAAGATATCCCCCTAAATGTTGACTTTCCTATATTTTCCCCCACAGGAATCCAGAGTAAGAATACATTTTACTTCACCACTCTCACATGTAGAATTGAAACAAAAGTATCAAAGCATCACTTACCTGTTCTATATCATGGCATTCTTATTTAATACTCAATTCTATTTCTTTTTTATTAAATATTTGGCCTAATAATTCACTAATGGGTAATGTACCACAATTTGGAAAATTCTGTAAAAATCACTGCTTGTCAAGCAGCTCACCAGAAGCAAATAAAAAAAAATTTCATTGTTTTTTATTATAATTCCCAATTGTTTTCTGAGTTAAAAACAATGCTATAATACCTCATCTGCAGTTTATCAATTGATCTGTGGCTGAGGATGCTGACAGTCTTTGAAGGTGGGGAAATTCCACTCTGGTTACCCCCTCAACCATTTTGACACAAACAAGAGAGTCAGATTTTATAATCCATCTGTTAGGGGTCCTTCCTTCCTTCCTTCCTTCCTTCCTTTCCTTCCTTCCTTTCTTCTTCATGTTTCTTTCTGGGGGAAGCTTATCTTTTTCGTAATTTATTTTTTAAAAATATTTTTACTGATGCATAATGGACACACAGTAAAGTATAATAATCTCAGATGTACAACTTGATGAATTTTATATGTGCCTCTTGGGTGATCACCACTCAAGAGGCTCCTTCATGTCAACTTCCCAGTCAGCTGTGTCTCCCACTTTTACAGGGAACCACTATTTTGATTTTTATCAGCATAGATTACTTTTGCCTATTCTTGAACTTCATAATAAATAGAATCATACAACATGTGTTCTTGTAACTGGCTGCTTTATCATTTTGTCTGACTCATGAGATTTCTTGAGATACTATCTTTTAGGAAGGAAGAATTGCTGAGGCATTATAAGTCAGTCCTACTTTTGTTTAGTGGGCAAAAAGCTTTGGTTTTGGAATAACATAGCATTTAGAATCAAAAAGATAATTATCTTACTGTGATTCTAATCATCATTGCTATATAAAAATTTACATATTGCTACACTTGCTGCTGGCATAAGGGTATGCACAGAAAAAGCAAGGTTAGAGCCTACATTTAGCTGTCTTCTAAACTTAGAACAGCAGACTCTCGTTCACCTTAATGTGATGAGTTTACCCCATTTATTAAGTACCATAAATGGATTATCTTAAAACCACAGAGCAAACACTCTTAATTCCCTAATGCAGACTTTTAACAATTTGTGTTCTTGCTAAACCACTTTCGTGGATTGCAACCACCATTTCAACAAGAGAAACAGAATAGAATGGTACCAAAGTGAATTGTGTGTGATAAGAGTGAGAATAGTTCACTTATACTGGGTCATGATATAAATTATATTCTCACTGTGTGGAGTGGTAAATACTTCATGGCCACTTCACTGTGTACTCATCTGTAAAATCTTAAATGTATGTCGAACAGTTACAGTGTGCATGGCATTGTGCTAGGTGCTGTGGTACCTGTTATTAAATAGGTGAAACTCCAACTACTGTGCTGTACACATGAAATTAATACAAAATAATATTGAATGTAAACTGTAATTGATAAAAAAAAAAGGATAAGTAAACTCTAGCCTGTCCCTCTAAGAACTTATGGTATAGTGTCAGGGAAGTGATGTACACAAATAATTATAGTTTGAAAATGCCTTGTGTGATAAGACCATAATAATAAAAGAGCTTAAAACACTCAGAGAAGATTCGTGACAGAGTTGGCATTTGCGTGAGTTCCGAATGATGAGTAGAATTTTATCTGCTCAGGAGGTGAACAGAGAGTGATGAGTGCCTCCATGAACAACAGCAACACAATTTATATAATGTAACGGTAAGCAGAGTGATCTACTTTTTAAAAAAGATAATCTGGTGCATGCAGGTCAGTGAAAAAAGCTATGCCTGAGAGCATAAATATTAAACTAAGGAGTTTGTACTCTATTAACGGTCTGTTAGGAACCATGGGGGAGAACAGTGACATGATCAAAGTGATACTACAGAAATAATCTTATAATAGTGTCCGTTATTGGAAGTGGTTGAAACTGGTGGTAGGTAATGTAGGTGGAGGACAAAGGAGAATCCAAATGTAGAATAAGAAATATATGAGGGGGGTGTTGTAGTGTGGACAGATAACTCCACCACCACCATCACCACCACCTAGTTTTGCTTTTGTACAAAGCTAGTTAATACCCTTTGGAACACACTTTCGAGTGCTTTAGCATTTCAAAATCTAATCTATGGCAGTATAAGAAGGGATTCTCTAAGTGTGTGTGTTGAGTATTTACAAAAGAGTAGAGACAGATGAAGAATATGAGATCATATAAATTAGAGACAGTAGCCTTATAGATACACAAAAGCAAATGTGTCAGAACAAAAGGAACCAATAATGCTTAGGAAGAGTATTTCTCCCTAAATTTGAAGTATGGCCCTGCCTCTGCTATTCTAGGATTTGGAAGGCAAATCTGAGTTTGTTAATTCACCATGATTTTTGTTGACTAGTTAGTAAGAATCATAAACTAATGTCAGACCTCTTTGAGAATCTTGGGATGACCATTTATTAGCTGTGAAACCTTCAGTAAATTCCTAACCTTCTGAGCTCATTTCCTCATCTGTAAATGGAAGCAGCGCCATAGTGCAGATTTAATATTGAACATACATAGTCCTTAGCAAGGCATCTGCACATAGTAACTTCCCAACAAATGGCTCGTATTATTTGGATTATCTTTTTCTACTCTGCATTCAATCGCTTTCTCTACTTAATCTTTTAAATCATATTTTCTATATTTTTAGTTCTGTTTTAACTTCTACATAGAAGATAGCTGTAATTAGACTTGGATTTTTATCTCTGATAAGATTGTTATTGTTTTTTACCTTGCAATTAACTGTCAAAGAGATCATGTTAAAAGTAAGAGAGATTGTCAGCTCTGCTATTTTTTGTTGTTGTTATTCACTTGTGCATGAATTATTAATATTATCTTCAAGACAGTTTCTGTGCAGGAATCTTTTTAAGCCACTTACTTGGCTGTTATGTTATATTGTGTTTAATTAAAAGAAGACACATGATCAATTGATGTCCTTTACTGGGTTTATGTAAACAGCCTTGGTATATAGTGCCCAGCATTTTGCTAGCCTTAGAGACCATGTATTTGAAAAGTGGAACAGTTTCTGTTAGTAGCTCATAAAGTCTTTTTAACATTAGAAACACGGTCTTGAGATTTGGACTTTTAAGGAAAATTATATTGTTAACTAAGAATCATAAAGATACTACCAGAGTATGTATACCTGACAATCATATAAATTCTGTTATAAGTAAAAACAATGTAAGATTAAGTGTAAATGACTGAAATTCCCCCAGATTGCTGTGACATTCGTGACTCCTAAGCCTTGTCAGAAAAGATTTTTATGCTAGTTCTCATAATTAGCATCTAATGCATAATTTTTCTCTTATATCTTAATGTTGACAGCGTATCGCCTGTGATTCCTTAGAAGTGGATGAAGTGGAAAGGCTGAAGCGTGAAAGGAACAATGCCTTGGAAGAAGTGAATATGCTTAAGGTAATCTCCAATCGCGCTTTCTCACATATCCTTCAGAAAAAAGAGAAAGAAAACCATCTTGCGTTGAGTTCAGAAGTATTGGGGTTTAGTGTTATTTTTAAATAAAGAATATTAATATCCAGTAGCTGAAATGTTAGTATTGGTCGATATTGAATATTAATATCAATTTATTTCTTCAATTGATCTTTAGAGAGTTACTTTTTCAGTTTACACACTTTATATTTTCAAAAGAGCTGTGTAAGATTCAGTTTGAACAGTGGTTTTTACACAGACCTTCTGATTTGGCTACTTCTCACCTCTTGTTTTTTCTCACACTGGTGGTGGCAAGGATGAGGAGCCAATAAAGCAAACCATGGCAGTGTTGAGTCCTCAGGTGTTCATAGGGAAAAACATTTTCTCCCATGTTCATGGGCATGCCTCAGGGGGGCTGTCTTTTGCTAACGTAATTTAGAATTAAGGCCGTGTGATTTACAGGAAGAAAACACACACAATATATCTCAAATATAATTTAAGATTTCGATTCTCTTTATATGTTTTCCTTCTGTGTTTAGTAGAATCTTAAATTTAAATTACATCCCAATTTTCATAGAAGGCCATTATATTTTTTAAATCTTTGAGAAAAAAGTAACATAACTACCTGATTTACCATTAATGCAACATAGAAATATATTTTAATGTTTTTTAATTATTTTCATAAGTAAGTGAAATTCTATTGTTTAATTTTTATTAAAGCAAAATAATTACACCCATAAAATGAAAGAAATTTCCTTGCTACTTTCGTTTTTAAAGTCCAGCCTCTAGAAGAAGCTATTGTTAAACATATCTTGTTTATCCTTTGTAGACTTTCTGTAGATAGCCAATTGTAATTTTTAAATGAATATATCACATATAAATATATATAAAAATATGAACTATATTTTTAACTATTACAAAATCATTTAATATACTGTACACTTTTTTACAACTTGCCTTTTTTCCCCCTCTTCGGTAGTATTATATCTTAGGCTAATGTTCCAGTTAATACACACAGATACACCAAATTCTTTTTAACAGCTCTCCTATCCTCAATTAGATGGATCTGTCCTAGGTTTTTTAACCAGTTTCTTAATGATGAATAGTTTGGCTATTTTCAGTTTTCGATTATTAAAATAATTCCATCATAAATAGCTTTGTAGATGTATCGTTGCGTGATTTACAATTGTAAAAGTACAAATTGAATAAATTTCTGAAAGTGAGTTCTTTTCTCAAAAGATATGGACATATGAAATTTTATATATGTTACCAAATTCCCTTTCAAAAGTGTTTGCCAATTCATATTTCTTCCAAATATATATGAGCATGATTCCATTACTAAGGGAATATCTTATGTACTTGTTCTTTTAAACCTCAGTTTTTCTTTTTTCTTTTTTAAAAAATATTTTATTTACTTATTTTTAGAGAGAGAAGAAGAAAGGGAGAGAGGGAGAGAAAAACATTGATTGTTTGCCTCTCACACTCCCCCAGCTGGGGACCTGGCCTGCAATCCAGGCATGTGCCTTTACTGGGAATCAAACTGGTGATCTTTTGGTTTACAGGCCAGCGCTCAATCCACTGAGCCACGTCAGCCAGGGTTTATATACTTCTTATTACAACTTTGAAACCACTATCCTTCCACACTTCTGGTATAACAGTTAACAGTTTTACATTTAGTTTTAAAAATAAATAAATTCAATTTTAAAAATATATTGACAATAGTTTCCTCATACCCATCCTCTTAGGAAATATTTCCACTGTTAGTTTTCTTGGTAGGATAGCATTCTTATATAATTTGTCACTGCATAAACCATTACATTTTATGGTCCATCAGAATTTTTAGAGGCTCTCCGATCTTTCTCATTTCCTTAATATTTATCATTGCTAAATTTAGTGACATATTTCAGTGTTTATATGAATATAAACATTAATTATTAGAATTTTAACTTAAAACTGTATTCATGTAACATTTAACCAAGCTTTCCTGAAGAAGCTTTAAATTCACATTTAAAGTTTATGAAATGTAACCGAACATATTCTAATGTGGCATAATCGAAATTTCCTTTACCTCAAAACCTACCTATTGTCTGAGAACCACTTGTTTAGCTATATAGAAGCACATACAAAGCAAGAAATACTGTATTTGAGATAATGTTTGTACTTTTAATTTTCCTACTTGGATTATAAACACACAGAAATAGACATTGTTAAATGAAGTTCATAGGGTACATAGATGGTCTCTCCTTGCTTACCATTATCCTGTACATCTCTAATCTTTATGTCTGACTTAAAGTACAGATAAAAGTGAAGCCAAAATAATTTGATGCTAATGTCTGATTTCATTTGGCAAGAATGATTTTTTAAAGTGCTGTGGGCTTTCTTTAACTTAAAGCCTTTCTGCAGAGTTCGCATTGCTACTGCTTTGCAAAGCTGAATGAAAATAGATATATTTTCCATTTACAGATGCAAAAAACTAGGACACAATGAGCGAAGGTGACTTGCCAGAGCATAAAAGCATGGGAGCCAGCAGTTTCTTGGCTCCTGGTCGGTGGCAGATTCATTAGATTGCTGTAGTATGTTCATTTCCATATACCTTCATCTTATCTCTTAGACACGAATGAGCTGAAATACACCGGAAAGCAGATGACTTCTCACAAACCTTGCTGTGTTGTCATGAGTATTTACCACTCAATTTAATCTTCAAGCAATACCTCTTTTCAAGTTTATAGCAAAAAAGTTCTTAAATTATACTTAGTGTTTCTGATTTGATCAATAAAATGTAGATTTATTTATAACATGCTTACAAGTGAACATTTTAGAGTATATGCTTCATTTTAAATTCAAAGGTGATAATATTTGATTGGCATGTATAATATTCTACCTTAAGAACTCTCATTTCATATTTTGGTTGTACCAGTCATATCTTCATTTTTATGGGTGATCTTCCAAGAATAAGCTAAATCTGGAAAATGTTATTTAACTCAGTTTCATGTGTCTTATTTAGTGTAGAAAGAGAGACTTCCAAGTTGTAATAATAATGCTCTCCAATTTGGAAGCTCTTTGGCAGTGATAGTTATTACCCAAAATTTAGTTAATATTTACATATTTTGATCCTCGTTGACTTATGTTGGACCTCAGATTTTGAGACCTTACAAAATAGCAAATTAAAGTAACAGAAAATACATTTTCATCACAATTATATTGTAGCTAATTACTTTTAAATGTTATATATAAAACCAGAAAAGTGATGGAACTAAATTTTTAGATTGTAGTGGTTGGATATTTGGGGCATTTATAAGCTTTGAAATGAAGCCCTAAAAATGGTACTCATTGATATTCATAACAAGTTATTAATTCGGTGGTTTTTAAATACAGGAAAAATTATTTGAAGCAGAAAGGCAAAGGAAACAATTGACAGAGGAACTCCAGAATGTGAAACAAGTGAGTGCATATATTGTATATATGTTTTGTGTGTGTGCAAAAACATATGAGGTCTCATTATAAAGCAATGATGCTCTATAATATCCTAGAACATATGCATGTGAGTAATGGAGGCTGTACCTGTCCTACAATATTGCTGTTACTGCTCACAGAAATGTTAAAACTCCTCTTTGAAATTGCTTTCAAAACCAGGTATCTATGGACTGAAAAGATCATTCTCATTGCTTTTCTATTCTTCTTTTCTTTCTGTTTTATTTTTTCCTTTTCCTTTATTACCCATACCTCATATTTTTAAAGGTAAAAGCAAACTAAGCAATAAAATAAATAACCCTGTAAGAAAGAGCATTTTTTACTTTTATAGAACATGTATGAATGACCCATGAACATGAACAACGGTGTGGGAATTGACTGTGGGAGCAGGGGGCGGGCTTGGCGGAGGAGGGCGAAGGGGGAAAAATTGGGACAACTGTAATAGAATAACAATTAAAAAATTTAAAAATAATAAAATAAAAATTTATTTTACTTTGAAGTAAAAAGTTCTTCAAAGAATTTTAGGTAGCTTACAACGAAAGAAATACCATGATATCATAAAATAGATATACAGATAACAAACAAATAAAATAATAAGACGAGAAAGTTAAGAGAACATTGTTAGAGATCAGTGGCAATCACCTGGTTTTGAATATCCCCAATATTATGCCCCCAGGAAACATAAAACCAATAGAGTAAATAAAATCATACTGGACCCACACCTTCAATATGACTATGTGACAGAGAACACCACAGCCTTCAAAGTACATATATAACATTTTTTTTAATTCATCAAAGTCCTGCAGTTTGCCTGCCACTGAGACCTGGAATGCAAAGAGCAGAGGAGGTAAAGCTTCAAAACTGAAAAAGAATTAGGAGAAACACAGCACTTAGATGAAGTACAGATAAATTCACCACCAGAAAGAGAAAATGGAACAATTAATGCCAAAATACTGAATAGGGTCATGACTTGGGTGTCCTTGGGACTTGAGAGAAGGTGTGTACACTCAGAGGCGGCAGCCCTGAAGGCCATTGCTTCTGGGGGAGAATCAAATAAATAGAGCAGGGGCCGGGGCCCTGGGAGGCCAGGCGATGGAGGGAGAGGCGGACATCGGATAACCCTCACCAGGCTGGCCTGGGGGCACGCGTTGCACAGAAGTACTGGTCAGCGCCTCAAAAGGTAAAAAAATGACTTGAAATACAGAAAGGAATCTTTAAGACATTTGTATGTGCATGTATTCCTCCAGAGCATTTGAGATCTCACATCTTGGCAATGTTCAGCTCAAACGTTTGTAAAAATTCAAAGAGAGACAGAGGGAGAGAAGGGAGGATATAAGAGGGAAAAATTAAGGATGTAGCATAAATGAGAGAAACAGGATTTAGTAAACCTCTTCCATCTACCTCCTCCATCTACCCCCTCCACAACCATCAACAAGATCCATAAAAGAAATTGCACAGAAGAGGGTGCTGTTGAACTGAGAACTCTTTCTATGAAAGAAAAAGGAATAGGAAAAAAAAAATCTGTCCCCATCATTACAGAACAATTGTAAAATTAGACAATATGAAATAAAGCTTTCCTTAGACAATAGAAATTAAATGCGTTCCTCTTCAAAACATTTCAACAATGTTGACAAAAACTACTACCACACTCCAAACTCAATTAAGTATTCTCAAGCAAGTATTTGGCATTAAGAATCAGAATTAAGGAACAAAGAATAGAAATTGACCAAAACTGGAAGAAATGAAATGAAATTTGATAAAACTTAGGAAAGAAAGAGAAGGAAAAGACAAAAATCAAATTAGAAAACTAAATTACAAATTGCCCAAGGGAGAATGTATTCAAATGAAAAGGCATTAAAGAAAACCAGGAAAATGAGAATGAAAGCCATAAAAGAGTTTCTTAAATAAAAGCCAACTTAACAGCACTAATATTTAGGACTATAATCCAAGAAAACTATTCAGAACTAAAAGAAGACCTGAATCTATTTTGGGTACTAGGAAAATTTGACCTGGACAGATCAACTCTAGGACATATTCAGTAAAACTATTAGACTTTAAAAAATAGAGGAAAAAATGCACAGGCCTCCAAGTGAAAAGATCAAATAACTTACAAAGGCCAGCATCAGCCTTCTCAACAGAACATGTAAAGTAAGGCAGTCGTGGAGCAACCTTTTCAAGAAACTAAAGGAAGAAAGTGATATATTGTATATGCCCAAGCTGACACTCAGACGTCAGGGCCGTGGAAGAACAGTTTGGAATACTGCCATGTAGTATTCCCGAGGACTCCAGCAGAGGATGAGTTTCATCAGACCACAAAAGGTAACTGCACTGACTTTATTGCGAACTTCCAAACAGTAAGCATTTTACATATGTTATTTTATAACTTGGACTAAAATGAGGGTGAGTTCATGGGTAAAAGAATAACATGAAAACATTACATGTCTAGCAAAAACCAAAAGGTGCAATTTATTTTAAAAAATGAGAGGATAATGGAGGAAAAGGAAGGAGCAGAATATGATCATTGTCTTTTTAAGTAAAAGGTAGTAGTCAATGAATACCATGTGAAACTGACATTACACAGTAAATGACCAGGTAAAAATAGGATTTCAAGCACTATAAAAAGTAATTTTAAAAATGTAACAGTACACATGTGACCTATAGAATGAAAATACAAACCTTCCTAAATACCAAAAGAATGTTTTTTAAAAAGCAGAAGGGATACATGAAAAAAAGAAATGCAGTAAATATAAGGTACTCAGTAATTTCAACAACAAAAAAAAAACATTATGACAATGGAGATTGAACATAACAGTCATCCTAATTATCGTGAATGAGATTAACACATTTGTTAAATAAAAAAGGTTTTCTTAGGAAAATACAGTATACCAGAGCTGACCTCAGTAGAGATAGAAAGCTCAACAGACCTATATCCATAGAATAAATAAAGTTATCTAGAAACATATCCTACAGAAGAAAACCAGGCCAGAGGGTTTCACAGGGGAATTTAACCAAACCTTTGGTAATCCATCCCCAAACTATGTAAATGGCTACAAAGTACAAAATAATGAAAGAAAATTTCCAAATTCTTTTCTTGAAGTGAGTTTAATGTTTGATCCCTAAACCTGATGAAAGTAGCACCAAAAGAAAAGAAAATGAAGTTAGACTGGAGAAACAAGTAGGGGCATATGAACTGTTTACAAATGACATAATAGGAGTTCATAAAACCCAAGAGAATCAATGATAGAAGCTAACTCAAAAATTCACAAGCTATCAAGATATAAAATTAATATGCAAAACTCAATTACACAAATAATAACCTGGAGCTAATAGCATACTGCACCAGTGGAAATTGACTCACACTTGTGGTCACTTGATATTTGAAAAATGTTCATACAGTTCAGTGGGGAAAGATGCTAGTTACAATGCCTGATAATATAGCAAGAATATTTATGTGAGAAAAATTGAATCTCAACCCCTACCTCATATCATACTCAAAAGCTAACTCTGAATGGGTTGTCAATCTAAATGTAAGAACTAAAGCTTAAATCCTAGAAGAAGCTTTTGTGACCTTAGGTGAAGCAAAGTTATCAAACTATATACCTAAGATGAGTAAACTTTGTTATATGTAAATTATACCTTAACAGAACTATTTTTTAAAAAACAACTGTGCCATCAGAGTAGCAAGAATTCGAAAGCTTGGTATTGCACTGCTGCTGTTTCAAAACAGGAATTCTCATACATTGCTGGTGGTTATGGAACATTGTACACCCACGTGAAGAAAACTTTGTCATTTCTACATATGCGTTTACTCTTCAACCTGGCAATCTCACTTCTTGAAATTTGTCCAGAAGATATGCCTCTAATAATATTAAAATACACATGCACAGTATTTATTGTAGTATTCCTTATAATTGAAACTATTGGAAGCTGCCGTAATCTCTAAGCATAGGCAATTGAGTGAATAAACTACAGTCCTTACACACAATGGGGTTCTATGCTGCTGCAGGAAAGTGAAGAAAGGTCTCTCAGATAATATGGAGTGATTTCCAGGAGATACTATCAAGTTAAAAAAAAGCAAAGCACAAAGAAGTGTGTATAGTATGCGATCTCTTATAAACAAGAGAAATTAAAATATACATCTCTTTATCTTTACAAAAGAAATCAAAGGAGGGATAAAGGACACAACATTGAACTTTATTGGCTACAACATGGGTAGACACAGGGTGGATACGCTACAGGAGGGAGTGGCAGACACCTCTGAAAGTACCATTTTATGTAATTTTTACTTTTGGGTGTATGTTAATCGTCTGTACTTTCAAAAAGTATGTAAAGAAATCAGTCAAGGTAAGAAAAGCAAAATGAACTTAAAACTACAAGTCCATTTGTGTCTCAAATGACTATCATAACCATGCTAAAGGAAAACAGAAGAAAGAACCGATTCAAGTCACTTATGACCACAGTGTTTGTGTTGTGTTTGACAGGTTGGGGTTGAGTTGGAGAAGAATTGCAAACAAATCTTGAATTTTTTTAGGATGTTTTATTTTCTTAGGGGGATGACCAAGACAATTCTGAAACAATTTTAAGATATATTATAGGTTTCAAAGAATGTGTTGTTGACATCCATAATCTCAATGAAAAAACAAAGACATAGAAAATAGAATGAAGGAAGTCAAGAAAGAATGTTGTGGGATGGACTAGAACTGGAGGTATCATTGTGAATGCATCATTTCTAAATACATGTATATGTGCATATGAATGTATACATGCACATGTATATATGTATGCATGTAGATGTATTTGTGTGCAGGCATGTGTGTGCATCCACAGCTCTGTTGACTGAAAGAGCCCAAAAGCAGACACCCCGATAGCATATCTAAGTGTCCAGATACCACTCCCCCTCAAAGGAACCCAGGACTTTTGGAGAAATGACTGTTTTTAGGACTGGGGGAGGGTGAGTACAAGGTGAGCCT